GTCTGCGTCATCACGACGCTCTCGCTGTCAGCCATTAGCACCAACGGCGAGGTCAAGGGTGGTGGCGTCTACTTCATCATATCCCGTTCGCTGGGTCCCGAGTTCGGGGCGTCCGTGGGCGTGGTGTTTGCCTTCGCCAATGCCGTCTCTGCCTCAATGAACACCATTGGTTTCTGTGAATCGCTAAATGGCTTATTAAGTGAGTAAAAAATGTCAATTAAATAGAAATATGTCGTTTATTTGTTTTTCAGTTAGCTTCAAGCCCATATAGAAAAATGTTGTCTAGCATAGGAAACTTTTTATTGAACAGGCAGGAACCCCCAGAAAACAATAAGAAACCCATTTTTGAATAAAACAAGAAAGGAAAGCTAACTTCGGGCGGAGCCGAAGTTGATATACCCTTGCAGTTAAAACCGGAATATAGAATAGAATCTGTACCAAGTTCCAGCTTTCTATCTTCAAAAACACGAAAGTTGGGTCATTTTCGATCGTTCAGTTATACGGCAGCTATAGGATATAGTCGACCGATCCTTATAAAATTTGGCACGTCGTATTATTTTGCCAAAAATAGCTCTTGTGTCAAATTTGAACTCTCTAACTCTTAAAACACCAAAGTTATACCATTTCCGATCAATCAGTTATATGGCAGCTATAGGATATAGTCGGCCGATCCGGGCCGTTCCGACTTATATACTGCGTGCAAGGAAAAGAAGGGTGTGTGCAAAGTTTCAAGACGATAGCTTCAAAACTGAGAGACTAGTTCGCGTAGAAACAGACAGACGGACAGACAGACGGACAGACAGACGGACAGACTGACATGCTCATATCAACTCAGGGGGTGATCCTGATCAAGAATATATATACTTTATAGGGTCGGAGATGTCTCCTTCACTGCGTTGCACACTTTTGACCAAAATTATAATACCCTCTGCAAGGGTATAAATATACAGGGATCAATATAGGAATGGTTTACGGTATCCCACTTAAGAATCGGATGAATATTGACAAAGATATGGCCATCGGTAGGAGCGATATTGTCCCCCTATGCATTTTTTGAAATTTTACAGGGGATCCCCTAGAAAATTTGACAAAAAATCTAAAAAATTTTTTGTTCTTAGATTTTGATGGAGAATGATTAGAAATGCGACTACAAATCGTTTAAGGTATTCCGCTCAAGAATCGGATAAATATTGACAAAGATATGGCCATCGGTAGGAGCGATATTGTCCCCCTATGCATTTTTGAAATTTTACAGGGGATCCCCTAGAAAATTTGACAAAAAATCTTAAAAATATTTTGTTCTTAGATTTTGATGGAGAATGATTATAAATGCGACTACAAATCGTTTAAGGTATTCCGCTCAAGAATCGGATAAATATTGACAAAGATATGGCCATCGGTAGGAGCGATATTGTCCCCCTATGCATTTTTGAAATTTTACAGGGGATCCCCTAGAAAATTTGAAAAAAAATCTAAAAAATATTTTGTTCTTAGATTTTGATGCAGAATGATTATAAATGCGACTACAAATCGTTTAAGGTATTCCGCTCAAGAGCTCTCAGGGAGCGATATTGTCCCCCTATGCATTTTTCGAAATTTGGAAAAGGTTCATAATTTTAAGGGGAGCTCCCAAATAGGGCACTGAGTTCCCTCATATTTTAAAAGTATTCATATTGTTTAATAATCAATGAATAAAATTAATTTTGCAGAGAGTAATGGACTAAAAATTATCGACAACGGCATCAATGACATCCGGATTGTGGGATCGGTTACCATTCTGCTTCTCATCCTGATCTGCTGTGTGGGCATGGAGTGGGAAACTAAAGCTCAAAACTTCCTGATTGTAACCATTGTTCTGGCCATTTTCAACTTTATCATTGGAGCAGCTATTGGTCCAAATGGAAATGAAGAGCTCATCTCAAAGGGATTTGTGGGCTTGTCATGTAAGTTTTAAGAATTTCTTGTTTTTTAAGGAGTTTCTTTAAATTAATTAAATTATTTTAGGGTCAACATTTAAGGAAAATTTCGGATCGGACTATAGATACGCCGAGGGCGTGAACCACGACTTCTTCAGTGTGTTTGCCATCTTCTTCCCCAGCGTCACAGGCATCCAGGCTGGAGCCAATATCTGTGGTGATTTAAAGGACGCCGGAGCCGCCATACCCAAGGGCACCTTCTGGTCCTTGCTGATTTCAATGACCTCGTACGCTTTGTTTGTGCTCTTCGCTGGCGGTGCCGCTGTGCGGGATGCCTCTGGTAATCCTGCCGACCTTGTCAATGGCAGCATCATTCCCTCAGAGCTTCCATGCATGACCGACGGTAACTGCACATGGGGTCTCTTCAACTCATACGAAATGATGCAGGAGATGTCTCTCTGGGGTCCGTTGATCTACGCCGGATGTTTTGCTGCCACCCTGAGCACAGCACTGACCAATCTACTCTCAGTGCCTCGTCTAGTGCAGGCTTTGGGCATTGACCAGATCTATCCGGGCCTGATCTTCTTCTCGAAGCCATACGGAAAGCACGGAGAACCGTACCGCGGCTACGTCCTCACCTTCTTCATCTCCACCGGTTTCCTGCTGATCGGAGAACTGAACCTGATTGCTCCACTGATTTCCACCTTCTACCTGGCCTCCTACGCCCTGATCAACTTCTGCACATTCCACGCGGCGTTTGTGAAGCCACTGGGATGGCGTCCCACCTTCAAGTATTACAACGCCTGGCTCAGTCTCTTTGGATTCGCCATGTGCGTGGCCATTATGTTCCTGATCAACTATGTGGCCGCCATCATCACTTTTGGTATTATCTTTGCTCTGTACCTGGTGGTCATGTACCGAAAACCAGAGGCGAACTGGGGCTCCACCACCCAAGCGCAGCAGTACAAGGCAGCCCTGATGGCCGTCCACCGGCTTCAGAATGTTTCCGACCACGTGAAGAACTACCATCCGCAGGTTTTGGTACTCTCTGGCGATCCCAAGACCAGGCCTCCTCTAGTCGACTTTGGTTATTTGCTTACCAAGAACAACTCTCTGATGTTTGTGGCCAATATAATACCGGTAAGTAGTTATATTTTTAAAAAAGGATACAAATAGTAAGTCCACAACTTTTCTTAAAGGTCCGTGTGGGTTACAAATGCCGTCAGCACTTGGTTAAAGAAGGTCAAAAGTATTTGGACGCCCGCAAGATCAAGGCATTCTACAATGTAATCGATGGCTTCAGTTTGGAGGACGGAATTAATGCTCTAACCAAGTCCACGGGCTTTGGAAAGATGTCTCCCAATATTGTGCTGGTGGGCTATAAGCCCGATTGGAATCGTTGCCGTAAGGAGGAGGTGGAAAGCTATTTTTCCATTCTATAGTAAGTTATACATGAAAAGGCTAAAAAAAGCATAAATTAATCTAAATATTTCTTTGCAGCAATGCCTTCTCCCAGCGCATGGGTGTGGCCCTGCTCCGTCTCCCCAATGGACTGGACTTTTCGGAACTGAACTCTGAGGTTACCCTGCCAGCCGTTGGAATGGGACACATGCACACAGCGAATGCTCAAGGATTCACCAACGAACTGATGCCGGCCGCCAATGCTGCCTCCGAGCTTCTGCATATCGACTCCAACCTGAACTTGGCAAGCATGGACAGCCCTAATTCTTCGTTTACAATGCCCCAGCCCGCTCCGATGCCCAACATGCAGCGAAGCTCCCGTAGCTACAAGGTTAATGGATCCGACGAACCGTCAGTGACATATCACACCAAAGGCGGTTCTGATATTCCCCAGAATCTGCTCGATGCCATGACCATTTTCACGCGAAAGCAACCCAAGGGCACCATTGATGTCTTCTGGCTTTACGACGATGGAGGTAAGGCTGTCAATGAGAATTTGTTAGAACAGCTTCTTGAAATTATGCTCCAATCACATCCAGGTCTCACCATTCTCCTGCCCTACATCATATCCATGCGCTCCCATTGGCAAAATTGTAAATTGAGGGTCTTCGCCATGTGTCACGGCAAGGACGAGGAACAAGAGGAAAAAAGGTGAGCCAGACTCAAAAATATGAATAAATCTTGCAAATTAAAACATAATCTTTCATCCACAGCATGGCTAGTTTGCTGACAAAGTTCCGCATCAAGTACTCCGAGCTGATCATGCTAAAGGGCGTGTCGGAGCAGCCGCGCCCAGACACCCTGCTGAAGCACAAACGTCTCATCGAGCCCTTCCGTCGCGGAGTCCGCAACGAGTTTGGCATCACGGACGAGGAGCTGCTTAGCATGGCCGAGAAGACGAATCGACAGTTACGCATCCATGAACTGGTGGTTAGCCATTCGTCCAATGCCTCCCTGGTGGTCATGTCCCTGCCCATGCCACGAAAGGTAAGCTATATACAACAATACCCTTCAACCAACCCAAAACTAATTTTTTGTCTTTTTGAAGGAGGCCATTTCGGCGCCACTGTACATGTCCTGGCTGGAGATGCTCACTTCGGACATGAAGTGCCCGGTGGCACTTGCCCGTGGAAACCAAACACCTGTGCTGACACTCTACTCCTAGACTAGACATCGCTTCCAGTTCGAGTACAATTTAGTATTATTAGCGTTTAGGTGTTCCGCAAAGTTCTTCGTACAATTGAGCTCATCCCAGTTTTGATGTCGTGACTTATAGCCTCGATTCAACTGAATTCCAGAGTCCAGACTCTAGTTCCAAATGCGTCCTACTACCTACGTACTCTTTTATATAAACGAACTCCTAAACCCTTGACTATAGTCCTTAGAAAAGTTTTGTGAACTTTTTAAAATCTAATACAAAAGTTTCACATACATTAGCTTTAACTATTCTGAATAAATATAAACGATTTAATTACTAATTTGTTCCTTGTTTAATTGCAACAGGAATAATTTTTTTTTCATTAAACGTTCAAGCAATTATTGGAGTAAAGGTTGCGCAAAGGGAACTAAGTAATTGGTTTCAGCAGTGCAGTACTTTTTTCGTGGCGAACTAATGAGGTAGTCCTAGTAGTAGGCGCGACGTGGATTGTTCTACAAGAAAAAACATTTAATGAAGGATAACCTTAATACTTCTGGGGGGTTACTTACCAAAGGATTTGGTCGAAAACGGTAGGCTAACATCATACGCTTTCGGTAGGCGTCGTACTCATTATCGCAGTCTCCTGGTGCGGCGGCACTACTGACGCCAAGGCCCTGATTTCCATCGCGTTGTGGTGCTCTTGGAAATAAAATGAATTAATGTTAAAACTCAATATAAAATACTGGCACCTACTTATTTACAGGATCCACGATTCCTGCTCCATCCTGCCCCAGACCTTGACCCTCTTTCCATCCGAGTTTCTGCAGCATCTGGAAACCAATGTTGTCCTCTTTCAGTTTGTACTCCTTGTAGTCACTTAGATCCGGCTGGCGGTTGTTCTTCTTAGCCTCATACTGTTCCATAAACTTCTTTAGCTCCTCGGGTGGCAGGAAATCTCCGATGTGATGCTTGCCCTCGCTCTGTTTGGTCAGAGCGTTGGCCCACAAGGAAGTGGCTTCCATTTCGGCAGTTCGAAGTTTGTGTTCCCAGGTACCACCCTCAATATCCTCATCGGAGTCGTACTCGTACTTAAATTTTCCTCCCCTCGCAAGGCGATCGATTTCTTGCCGCTTTCGCATCATGTCCTGGTAAAGCAGGTTTACCTTGTAGTGCTCTTCGCACTGAACCCACTGCTCCTCGCTCAACTGAATGGAACCGTAGTTGAGACGAGCATACTGAAGCAAGGCGGGGTCACTGCGAGTAATGTTGGTAAGCGTCGGCTTGTTCTGGTTACCGAAGTTTCCCGAGGTGCCTGGTTAATAGACGAGGAGACATGAATAAATGTTGACCTTCACTATGTTATTAGAACTTACTTGCGCCGGGTATTGGAAGCTCCTTTTCGCCCCAACGACTCTTGCGCTCGCGTTTGCGTCGTTGCCTTTGAGTCTCCTTTTCATCCATCTCTTCCAGGTCATCCGCCTCGATTGGGATGCCGGCAGCAGCCGCTTCTTCGCGCTCACGGCGCTCCTCATCGCTAAGCTCATTGCGACATTCGATTCGGCGCTTGATGTTGTCCCGGTTGCGATCCATCATGCCTCGCATGTACTCGTCATCGGAATCGAAATCCGCACTAATAGCAGACTCGGGATCATATTTGTCCGCCGCCGAGTTGCTGTTCTGCTCCTCATGGTACGCTGGTTGATGGTGTCCCTGATCCTTTGGCGGCTCCTCTTGATCCCGTTTTAGCTGCTGATGGTCCCTCTGTCGCTGGCGCTCAATCCGCTGCCGCTCGTAGTCAAGGAGTTGAGAGCGATAGCTTCGATACTGCTCGCAGTTCTTATCATAAAGAAACCTAGTTCAAAATTCAAAAGAAGTGAAATATACAATGAAAAGTGCTCGACGCTAGTCACGTGTACAAATACATTATATGAGTAACTGTTTGAGGCGCCCCATTAAGCGGCATATTTTGTGCTTTAACTGGCATCTGCCGGCGGTCTTCTCCAGATTTTAGACGACGATCGAAGGGCGAGTGTTCACAGTGTTTTCGACGAGTCCACGCAACTGATCTCACTAATCTCTATCTATATTTATTCTTTTAACTAATTACTGTTAGTCTGTTGGTCATTTAAATCTCAAATTCAAAAAAAGAAAAAAGGATTACAAATTTTCCTAAAAATCAGCCTTAATATCAGCCTTTGATAGGTCTTTGAATAAATTAAATAAACGTCTCTTAGAAAATTTAATATTTTAACAAGAATGCAAATTTAATTACAAATTATTAACCTAAATCTTCATTTTTTTACATTTATATAACTTTATACTATGTCTAACTAACAAAATATCGAATCTATCTGAGTCCCCAAAAGCTTTTGTATCCTGAGGCCCCAATCTACATTCCAGTGAAAAAACATGTTTAGGTCATTTACCACAGGGCTGGATGCAACTCGCTTCTATGCAAACGTATTTTATCTTCATAATCATCACCGTTTTCCGCGACCAGTGCGATTAGGTTTTCTAAGCACGTTGGCAATTGTATGCACGTTTCTGAAAAAACTACATAAATTGCTTTAAAATCGTGCTCAACGATTAAAATATGGTACAAATTTTATGAGAGGTTTTTGGGAAAGAGGAAATGTACAGGATATTAGGGAGAAGGAAATATTGAGGATAGGGAATGGTGGATGGGAAATTAAGCAGGCAAAATATATCACTTTACAAATGACACACACCTTGAGGCGGGGCGGCTGCTGAGGCAAGTTGGTTCTGAGGCTGAGGCGGCTGCTGCGTCATCACCGGTGGTGGTTGTTGTTGTGTCACGTCCACTTCCTCCTGCATAGGTGGTGGCGGCGGTGGTGGATGCGAGCTTACATGATCTGTCAGCAGACCTAGCTGCTCCGCCGAGTGACCGGTTATAGTAGGCATCTGAATAGCCTCCAGGTTAATCTGCGGCTTTGGTATAGCATTTAAGTCGAACTCTTTGGGCGCTGGAATCGCATTCAGCTGCAACGCCTCTACTGGTGTTGTGGCTAGTTGCATGTAGATTGGTCCCATGTTGGCCAACGCAAGTGGAAGTTGTGGTGGCGGTGGAGGTGGTGGAGGCGCTGGATGCAATTGCATGGGCAGATGGCCATGGAAAAAGGTCGGAAGCTGCATTTGCGGTGGTCCCTGCGATAATAGAGCGGGGTTGAAAGCGAACGGAGGCGGTGGCGGCGGTTGGACCGTTTGCACGGGCAATCCAAACGTCAAATGTGTGGGAGCTGAGCTGGTCACTGTAATGGGAGTGACCATGCCAGCTGCTGAGCTAATCGCGACCATAGCTTCCAATTGTGGGGGTGGTTGCTCCTCTGTCGTTTGTGTCTCAGGCACTGCAGACGTGCTTTCCTCAGTGCTAAAAAGGTTACTACCGTTCAGTAAAAAGAATCTAGACATTTTACACACAACTCACCTAGGGACTGGTACTGGAGCTACGATAACGGGAGGCTGAGGCTTTTCATGCTTTTCTAGGATCTTCTTAAAGTTTTCCAAAAAGGAACCATCGTTACAAAAAGTATTCTTTACTTTTGGAGGCGGCTGTTCCACACTGGGCTGAGGCAACTGTTGCCGCTTAAGGCCAAATGTGATCTTTCCAGTCTTACCAGTGAAACTATTCAATGGCTTTGTGGCTACTGCCTCGTCTGGCTTTCCCTTTCCTGATGTTTCAGAGGTGACGGCTTCAGGGGCATTTGCCCCCTCCTCCACTGAGGCATCTAAGGCTGGGGAGTTCTGTGGCTGCTCATCTTGGTTCAGAGATTCTGATTCGGTGGAAGCGGGTTTACCCACTGGCGTCTCTGTTTTCAACTGGGCTGCCAAGTTCTGGGCAGCGGCCACCGCTTTTGCCAGTTGCGCAGTTTTCTGCTTCTCGAGTATCTCTTGCCTCTTCTTGGCAATGATCTCCTCCTGCTTTGTCATCTGCGCAAAGCGGTCTACTCTGTGATTTCGCTGTGACATAATTATCTAAGCTTTACCACTGTTTTTTAATCGACAATTTTTTTTCTTCTGCAAATCTTAGTGTTACCAAATTATGTAAGTGAGAATTCTACCCAAGGCAAAATATTTAATAATGCACTAAAAAATCTTTGTACGCGAAAAAATCAAGAATAAAATTCATTAAATTCTTTTAAAAATGAACTTTGTTTATGATTGACAAAAGATGCTTTGAAATTTCAAAAATCAGGTAAACAAACATGTAAAATATTGATTTGCAATAAAAATACCGCATCAAGGTAAAGTAATCGGAGAAATATCGATAGTATCGATAAGGGATGAATAAAAACCACTGATAAAAATGAGGCACTGTTTTTGTTTTATTGGCTTATAATATAAATACCCAAGTCAAAACATTATATTTTAGTAGTCGCATTTATTAAACACGTCTTTATTAAAGTCAGATTCAAAAACACCCATAATTTTTGGAATTTATGACAATATCAATGGCTTCAAACTGGATAAACTTACTAGGTATTTAAAAACACTGGGATACACGTTAAATAGTTTTATATAGATATTAGTTAAACCAATATATATAAACATTGGATATATTAAGTAACACTTTGGCAGTGCTCAAATTAGTAGAACAATTCATATATATGTTTTTCAAATGTTTAAGTTAAACTTTAAGCAAGATTAAATTCGATTAAGCCACTTTAGGACAAACACCATGTAAATAGAAGTAATTAATTCTTTATAAATTTTTCTAAATACGTCTAGAAATACAATAAGCTATCCTCTTGATTAAACATGTGGGCTTCAATTGGAGAATAATATGAGACTTCATTATACGTGTAATTTAACTAGAGGTACTTGGGAACAATTAATCCTTTTAACATATCAAAGCTATTGCCATCGGGCTGCACGGTTTCAATGGATCCAGAAGGTAACTTGACCTTTAAAAAGCCAAAATCATCAATCCCGACTATTTCTGCTTCTCGTTCTTGTTCGTTTGGGAGGCAAATCTTCACGGTTTGACCGCTAAAAAGAGATTTTTTGAAATTAGAAATCTAGTATAAGTAAATAGATCTCACCTGTGTAGCCAAAGGGAGTCGTACAAATCGTAAAAACTATCAAAATCTCCGTTTTGTACTTCACCCAAAAGTCTTTCGATTTCGTTAAAAATCATGGCAATAAATAACTCGTATTTTAGCAAAGGTAGTTTGTTGATAGGTGAATGTAAGTTATGTTCCCGGATCAAATCGTTAATGCAAGTTGTTGGCTTTGAATTGTTTAAATTTATTCCGCTGCCTATGTTAACAATGGCTTGAGAACCTTGCAAGGTAGTATTAATCACAAGGCCGCCGATTTTTTGGTTACCATTGGCGTATATATCATTTGGCCATTTAATGGATATATCCAGGATCTGGAATGAGATAATGGGGTTTGCGTATATTAACTTTTAGTTGAGTTTGCCTATAACACAAATAATATAAAAATATTAAACATATTATTTAAAAAAGTTCATACTACCTCCTAACATTTTTTAAAAATATTTTTTAAAATACTTTAGTATTTTTAAAGAAGCAGTATTATGAAGAAAGCTATTTGATGGTACTTGGTCACACTGCCTATGTGCGCTGCACTTGGGTGTAGAGAAATTTCAACAACAGCGACCAGCAGAAACCGTAAAATTAATCGCATTTTTCGCATAGCTTGGCCGTCTCGAGTTGCGGGCGTGTGTGAGTGAGCGCCGGAGCTGTCTGAGCAAAGGAAATCAAGGTCGACGGAGGCGAACAGCGGGCCAGAATGCGGAGCACAGCCCCGGCAACTGGTGCTATCAAATCGAAATCGTCCAACATCTGAAAAAATCAATCGGGCCTCAGTCCGACCGAGCAGGATGAGCAGCAGTAGTAGCAGCAACAACAACGCCCCAGACACTAGCAATGTTAACGACTCGGGGTCTGGTAATGGTACCCTAGACAGCAACCTGGTGATCATCCAGGACATGATTGATCTCTCGGCTAACCACTTGGAGGGCCTACGGACGCAATGTGCCACTAGTTCGACGCTCACGCAGCAGGAAATTCGATGCTTGGAGTCGAAGCTGGTGCGCTATTTCTCCGAGTTACTGCTGGCCAAGATGCGGTTAAATGAGCGCATTCCTGCGAACGGCCTACTGCCCCACGCCACTGGCAACGAACTGCGTCAGTGGCTCCGAGTAGTGGGCCTGAGTCAGGAGTCGCTTAGCATTTGCCTATCCCGTCTCAGCACTCTGGAGCAGAGTTTACGGCTTAGTGACGATGAGATTCGACAAATGCTGGCCGACCAACAGCCGAAACATGGCCAGCGCGAGGGAGAGGAGCTGCGACGGCTTACGAAGGCCATGCAAAACCTGCGAAAGTGCATGGAGTCCCTGGAGAGCGGCACGGGAGCTGTCAGCAATGATCCGGAGCAGTGGCATTGGGACTCGTGGGATAGGCCCATCCACATTCACCGTGGCAGCGTGGGAAACATAGGACTGGGTCTTAACACCGCCTCCCCAAGGTCACATCACAGGGCCAAGGGAAAGAATACTAATACCACTTCCAAGAGCGGCCGCCAGTCGCCCGAACAGCAAGGATCCCAGCTTACCTTAACCCTGACGCCCTCGCCCCCAAACTCCCCATTCATGCCTCCCAACGGGATGAGCAGTAGCCTGAAGGGAACCCCGCAAAGGACTCGGACCCCGCCGCCCGCCAAGAAACACCAGACCCTGCTTCAGAGCCAGGGAGCAACCGAAGCAGACCAGCCCGTTAGGAACCGGCTCCCAACGGATCCCAGTCCTGACAGTCATAGTTCAGCAAGCTCGGAAATTTTTGTGGACGCGAATGCAGGTCTGGTGGGCAGTTCTTCCAATGTTCTAAAGGTGCCCTGCTCTCCGGGAGTTGGCCATGTAGGCATCGGCCATGCCATAAAACACCGCTTTAGCAAGGCTATTGGCTTCATCGCCACCTGCACCTTTTGCCAGAAGCAGGTCTTTTCCCGCTGGCTGAAGTGCACCGACTGCAAGTACATCTGCCACAAGGGATGTGCCCAGCACGTGCCCGCCTGCTGCGGACTACCGAGGGAATACGTGGACGAGTTCAGGCACATTAAGGAGCAAGGCGGATACGCCACCATGCCACCTGTTCATGGCGCCGTCAAAGGTTCTCCGCTGGTGAAGAAGAGCACTCTGTGTAAGCCCCATCACCAGCAGCACGGGGACAGCAGCTCGCCCAGCTCCAGCTGTACCAGTTCCACGCCCAGCAGTCCCGCGCTGTTCCACCAAAGAGAAAGAGATCAAGCTGGTAGCTATGGAGGCAGCAGTTCCAGTGCCAACCTGGTGCCCACACCATCGCTGGGAAAGAATCATCAGAGTCAATTCAACTTTCCGAACGTCACGGTCACCAGCAGTGGAGGAAATCAAGGCGACACGCTCATCTCGAATGAGCCAGTCCCGGAGCAGGCGGTTCCGCCACCTAGCAGCGTGGTAAACGGAGGATTGGACAGCCTAACGAGTAGCTCCAATGGCCACATGAGCTCCCTGATAAATAGTCAGTCGTCCAATGCGTCCAGCAACGTCACCGTCACGGGCAGCCTGATTAACAGCACGACAACCACAACCAGCACCAATAGCTTCTACCCGCGGAAGCTGAGCTCGGCCGGAGTGGACCGGAGAACACCCTTTGCCAGCGAGTACACCGACACCCATAAGTCAAACGACAGCGACAAGACGGTTTCGCTATCTGGAAGTGCCAGCACGGATTCGGATCGTACGCCTGTTCGCGTCGACTCCACTGAAGATGGCGACTCTGGGCAGTGGCGTCAGAACTCAATTTCCCTCAAAGAATGGGACATTCCGTATGGAGATCTGCGGCTGCTGGAGAGAATCGGCCAGGGACGGTTTGGAACCGTGCATCGGGCGTTGTGGCACGGAGATGTGGCTGTGAAACTGCTGAACGAGGACTACCTTCAGGACGAGGACATGCTGGAAACTTTCCGCAGCGAAGTGGCCAACTTTAAGAAGACGCGGCACGAGAACTTGGTGCTCTTCATGGGCGCCTGCATGAATCCGCCGCATCTGGCCATCGTGACATCGCTGTGCAAGGGCAACACTCTGTACACGTACATTCACCAGCGCCGTGAGAAGTTCGCCATGAACCGGATCCTGCTTATTGCCCAACAGATAGCTCAGGGAATGGGATACCTGCATGCTAGAGACATCATCCACAAAGACCTGCGCACGAAGAACATCTTCATCGAGAACGGCAAGGTGATCATCACGGACTTTGGGCTCTTTAGCTCCACCAAGCTGCTCTACTGTGATATGGGCCTGGGTGTGCCCCACAACTGGCTGTGCTACCTGGCGCCGGAGTTGATACGGGCCCTGCAGCCGGAAAAGCCAAGCGGCGAGTGCCTGGAATTCACCCCCTATTCCGACGTCTACTCCTTTGGAACTGTGTGGTACGAACTGATATGTGGAGAGTTCACCTTCAAGGATCAGCCAGCGGAATCGATCATCTGGCAGGTGGGTAGAGGAATGAAGCAGTCGCTGGCCAACCTGCAGTCTGGCCGGGATGTCAAGGACCTGCTAATGCTGTGCTGGAGCTACGAGAAGGTTGCCCGGCCGGACTTTGCACGACTCCTGTCGCTGCTGGAGCACCTGCCAAAGAAAAGACTCGCCCGAAGTCCCTCGCATCCTGTTAACCTTTCCCGATCAGCGGAGTCCGTCTTCTGAGGGATCTGGCTGTCCATAACTGCTCCCCACAACAACAACAACAACAACAAACTCCTCGGCAAAGTTCAAACGTGCTAGGCTAAGCCCCCCCCCCCCCTCCACAATTGTAAATATTTAAACGTAACACTACAAACACTATATAGCAAACGATTTTAAACCCTAAATATATATACATATTATCGAATGCAATCCAGTTGCAGTTGTGAAACTTAACGAAACAAAGGCAAACAAATGTTAACTCGAAAAAGACAAACGTTTAAATGTTAAAAGTAATAAGCAGAGGCAACCTCACAAACAGATAAAATATTTAAAAAACAAAATAAGCACTGTGGAAAATGAAAAAAAAAAGGTAAACGTTAATCAGGTGAGCAATTTCTAAATTGTTAATTATGTGTAAGCAAAGCTCTATCTATATATATATATATATATATATTGTATGTGTATATACCGATGTGTATATGAGAGATTAGTCCTTAAATAAATATATATATTGTGCATTATGTATGGTCAGATGTATATAGCAAAGGAGTTTACTGCGAAATCAAGCAAAATGTCAAATAAACTTATCACTACAAACAAATTAAAATTAATTGTTTTAATTAATCAAAGGGGGCTTGGTAGTTTCTCCATTACTTACCCCATATTGTGGATGACTTCGCAGGGAATTGACAATAGCCGCTCCAATGATGTGCTGCAGTAGTGGGAGTCGCGATCCCAAAGGAGAATCCATGGCCAGGTGGAGTTGCAGCGAGAACATGGCACATCCCAGAGGACTTAGCCACTAAAGGTATTAATTTATTAGAATTTAAAAATTTAATTATAAACATAATTATGATATAAACCTGGTTACTGCTGCGACCAACTCCAGCAGTCTGCTGCAGAGGAAGAACAGCCAAGCCGTTGATGAGCTCCAAATTGTTGATCACATGCATGGAGCTACTGACCACCGGGGCATATATCACCAATCTTCCAATGTGTTCGGTTTTTAATTGCTGAAAGAGAGATACTTACAAATTAATACAGAATTTAGAGAAAATCTAGCCTAACCCACATCAAAATAGTCTACGGTGGAAAAGTCCTCCGGACAGGAATGTATGAGTATGGGCAGGACATTGTTGTTGGCCACCGGCGGCTTGTCGTCCTTGCCACAGAATTTAATTGTTAACTTGGGAGTAGCTATCACGTTGTCAGGACCACTGCAGCGAAGACGGAGTTTCTCCAGAAGCTCAAACTTGGACTGGAAGAGAGAAAGTAGATAGGATTAGTAGTGTTATACCTTTTTATAGCCATAAACATTACCTCATGCCGTCCTAGGAAATAGGCTTGTTGGTAGACAACTCCAGGCTGCGGTTGAACTCCAGCATCTCCTCCTTGCACCTGCACATCCAAGTATTTCCTTAAAAGATCCGCAAAGATCTCAAGGCGAGTGCTTTCGTTTTGCTTCAGAATGGAGTACTTGATTTCATCGGTTTCGAACTCGCTAGGATTTGTTTCCAAATGGACCTGTTAAGGATGGATATTTCATTAAAAATATTTAATATTTTGTAAGAATTCTTCATTCACCTGCGAGAATACCGCCTTGCCACCGCTTTGGAGGCTCTTGGCCAACAGCAGACTGGGCGTGTTCCAGGTCTCCTCGGTTCCCAGGACCTGAACATCCAAATTGTGGTTGTGGCCAGCCAGATCCTTCAGTTCCATGGACCTTGGACATACTAGAGCTCTGAGCAGCGTTTCGTTTTTCGGTTTTTTTTTTTCATTTTGTATTGTTTTTGTTTTTATTTTGGTTAATGGTGGGTTAGGATAGTTATAATGATAGCACACACACATATAGAAGCACACACAAATATAGATAAGATAAGGATTCGGCCAGTCAGAAAAGAGAAATAATAGAATTTCAAGCAGAGATCGAAAGGATAAAGGATAATATTTTAAAAGAAGTATGATATCGAATAGTTCAAAATTCAAATCATGGTGCATATCGAATATATTGGAAATTAAGCCAAATAATCCAAGTAAAGAGGAGAAATTTAGCATGAAATATTTAAAAGGTTAAATTAGACTTGAAATTGGTTAGATATTGTTTAAAATTATGATTAGTTTTAGGATAAGTTTTAAAAGAATTAACATTTAAAGATAAAAGGCCAGCTTAGCCCTTTATCTAATTAAAATTAGCTTAATAATGGAAAAATATCCGAAAGTCTAGATACATATATTTGAGTAGAAGATATAGAGGATTTTGAAAACATTTCTGAGAGCTTCCTGATAGTGGGTGTATAAAACATGCAACACGCAGGATATTTCATATACTTATTCGTTTCTAAATATTAAATATTACAAGGTGTATTAAATATTATAGCAGCATGGTTAGCGATTGTCAGTCTTCTCCTATTTAGTGTCGGTTCCAACTTACGGTTTTCGGGAATGGGACTTGGTGGACTCCTCGCTGTCGGTGGAAAAGTGCTTCTTAACTGGCGATGGCTGGTAGCAGAAGATGTGGTGCATCATCTTGACCCGCTGCCACTTGTCGTAGGAGAACTGAACCAATTCGTGCTCTCGAACCTGGAAGTTCATCAAAAATTATCAAAATATGCAAACATTTAAATGGAAACCTACTTCAGCAGTTCGGTAGTTTGGCAGAATAAAGTGTAATATGTCCGAGCAGAGACTTAGAACCTTGCCCCCTTGCAGGAAGTAATCGACGAGTACTTGTCCTATCCCGGGCGCTACTGATCCGCAGACCACCAGGAGCGCTGTCTGCTCCGTCCAATGTTTCTGAGCCGCCTGCTGGGGCATCAGTGGGTAAATGGTGTAGACATTCCTTTCAAGAAGTTGCTCCAACGTTGCCAAGGTGGAGTCCCTGGCACTGGCACTATCGGAGTAGACTAAAACATTCAGCGGCTTACTGTCCTGCAGACTGTCTTTGTTCCTTTTCAGAACAGGACGCGGAGGAGTGGCTGTAACTGGCGAGTTGAGTGGCTTTGCCACCTCAAAGGTTTTGCTGGGTTTCGGAATTTCAGCTGCGACTTTCTCTGCTTTCTTGGGACTATCTGTCTTATCGGAGATTTCAGGAGTAACTGCCTTGGGTGATACAGTCACTTTAACAGGCGATGCTTCAAGAGGAGTCTTCTGCTGTTGGGCGACTTGAGCTGCCAGCTTTTCCAATTCACTTGGCTGGGAGTCCACCTTTTTTGGAGTTCCTTTGGTTGGTGTGGGCTTACTTTCCGTTTTGTAGACTGGACTAACTTTGGCTTCGCTTTTAACAGGAGACGTCACCTCTATTTTGGCTTCGGTTTTAGGGACAATTGCAGGAATCCTTGCCGGAGACAGGGCTGCCTTATTAGTGGGTTCTACCACAGCCACAGCTTTGGGAGTTGTCTCCGAGGACTGACCAAGGATGTCAGTTTTTGCCTTTCCCTCGGTACGATTCTTGTGACTCTCGAATTCGGTGGCCTGGTGGGCGAGGACACTCACGGCCCGCAAATCCTCCAGATGCTTCTTCCAGCCCTCTTTGTCCAGTTCCACGGTAACCCGGGACTGACGCTTCAGATGGTTGGCGAGTAATTCAAAGGGCTGTGGCTCACCCTCTCTGCGAACAGCTGCAATGGAAAATTTATTGTATTATTCGGAGCCTCAACTTTATAAGCGAACTTGAAGACGATTCCAGCTTACACTCAATCCTCATCAGGGGCAGCTGATCGTTAATGCATAAATTATTTCTCAAAAATGTCGTTATTAACAGCTGCGTGAAGTGCTCCACATCGGTTTCGAGGAGCACCGCCAGGTGGGAATCTATTTTCCATGCAATAAGCTTACCGTAATCTTCCAGCTGATTCATGGATGAAGGTCATGCAAGTAGAAGACACAAAGAGACATGGTTAGAAGAATTATGACGCCAGAATTGTATCGATTCGACTATCTTGGAAAGGTTACATTTTAATCACGTGGCCGCACGCAACACCTTCCACTTTGGGGTAGGGCTGCGGCCCATAAACAAGGTAATGGCCGAAAGCGGAAATATAATGAAATGGAATTCGCCAAAGCATACAAACTTACCCTCACGCAAGTGGTGTCCTGGGAACTTGGACGTTGCAACGGCTCCACCTGCGCCTCAAGAAGTAACTGCATTCGCTGTCCGCCCTGCTCCGAAAGCGAGACGCGCTGCTGAGGTGGAGATTCGTCTGGCGTGGCTACAGGCGTCAGGGTCTCGGAGGAGTAGGCGAAAGGCAGCAAGCTGGGGGCCGGTGGGAAGCTGATCCATGGCGTGATGTGAAGCGATTGCAACGGTCGAAGACAACATCCTCGCTGGTTGGCGTGGAGCCACAAGATTTCCGTGACCTTGGCCGCATTACGGTTACCGCAAAGCTCAGAGCTGGCAAACAAGGGATCTGCGAAATTCAAACCAGATTCTCATCAGAATTGGACAGTCTGGAGAGGTACCACCAGTACTCACCGAAGCCATCATCGTTTCCCGGCTGCAGGGCGTAGAACGCAATGCTCGAGGGCTGAGCCAGGGCCTCGGCGATCTTGGAGCAGGCTTTTTGGATGCGCCATGACTGCAGGACAGTGGCGCCCACGTAATACAGGGTCAACATTTTGACCTAAGCCATCCGCCGACGAAAATCAATGCGGTTTCGTAATTCGCTCCGCGTTGCGGAAAGGGAAGCGACTTCGTTGCTATGTTGCGGTAGCCAGGAAAAGGAGGAGCGCCCAACCAGTTGACACACTTTTCGCATTCTCTTGCGGCACTGACGTTTATTGTTGATTACTGCATTTCCACCCCAAAGCACCCACACATCGGTATCCAAACAACCGCGCAGCCGGTCTGCGGCCAGTTTTAAATGCTCTTCAGGTCTCAAATAAATATTGGTAAACAAAATCGTTCAAAAATCCCTCCAGTTGTCGATATTGAATGGTTGATTTTATTCACTTGTTTACCAATTGGTTTTAAACAATTCCCCGATTCCTCTCGCCCGGTTCGCGAAATTCGCATAGGGTTGCTGAGTATGTAAAAAAAAGCTCAGTAAAAAAGGGATCATTTTTATCGTCACATGGATTTTGCTTAAAACTGAACATTAAATATATCTTAGGATAGTTTTTATAATATTATTATTTTAAATTATATTTTCTTACAGACTCTTTTTACAAGCATTTTACATTCGTTGTTATCGAAGTAGAGAAGTAATTCTCGCGACTTTGGTCACTCTAAAATTAGTTATCACAATAATGGTCGATATTTTTGTTATCGAATACTACAAATGCTTGTTGTGGAAATAGCAAATATAAATGCAAATCAGAATATAACATGGTTAGCTTTTTAAAATGAGCTACTTGGATTATTTCGCGACTATTCAAGATTGAACCTAAACAAAGCTGCTATAAAGAACTCGTTGACGGAATGCTGTTGGGCGAATTCGATACGACCCGGCGACTCCTGTTTATCGTGGCGGTGCTGCTCATTGTGCTGTATGCCAAAAATTACCTGCTACCGGGTTCTGATCTGGACTACGTTTAAATGTGCTAGTAATCCCTTGGAGACTAAGCAGCTATGACAGACAGAAGAGTTTCCTACTTCTACAATGCGGACGTGGGCAACTTCCACTACGGAGCGGGCCATCCGATGAAGCCGCAGCGCCTGGCGGTGACGCACAGCCTGGTGATGAATTATGGCCTCCACAAGAAGATGAAGATATACAGGCCTTACAAGTAAGTAGCCTAAACACATAAAATAGCATATTTAACCATTTTATGCTTTTCAGAGCCAGTGCTCAGGACATGCTTCGGTTCCACAGCGACGAGTACATTGCCTACCTGCAGCAGGTGACACCGCAGAACATTCAGTGCAATTGTAAGGACCATTTAAAGATTACCATTCCATCAAATAATATCTATAAATCTACTCCTAGCCGTGGCCTACACCAAGTACCTGGCACACTTCAGCGTGGGAGAAGACTGTCCCGTGTTTGATGGGCTTTTCGACTTTTGCGCCATGTACACTGGCGCCTCGCTAGAGGGGGCCCAGAAGTTGAACCATAACCACAGCGATATCTGCATCAACTGGTCAGGCGGCTTGCACCATGCCAAGAAGTTCGAAGCCAGTGGATTTTGCTACGTAAATGACATCGTGATTGGCATCTTGGAGCTGCTGAAGTACCATCCTCGGGTCCTCTACATCGACATCGACGTGCATCACGGCGACGGGGTGCAGGAGGCCTTCTACCTCACAGACCGGGTCATGACGGCCTCATTCCACAAATACGGCAATTACTTCTTCCCGGGTACGGGTGACATGTACGAGATTGGGGCAGAATCAGGGCGCTACTACAGCGTGAATGTGCCTCTCAAAGAGGGAATCGATGATCAAAGCTATTTTCAGGTGCGTATATATGAACTACCAAGTCCTGATAGCTACTTATGGTTTCTCTTTTTCTATATTCAGGTGTTTAAGCCCATTATTTCGGCCATCATGGACTTTTATCGGCCAACCGCCATTGTTTTGCAATGTGGAGCAGATTCTCTAGCCGGGGATCGGCTTGGTTGTTTCTCGCTAAGCACGCGCGGCCATGGGGAATGTGTAAAGTTCGTCAAGGAACTAAATGTACCCACATTAGTTGTTGGGGGAGGAGGATATACGCTCCGAAATGTGGCCCGTTGTTGGACGCACGAAACATCTCTGTTGGTGGACCAGGATATCGCCAACGAAATTCCAGCAACCGAGTATTACGACTTTTTCGCGCCTGACTTTACCCTCCATCCAGAAATCAACTCGCGGCAGGATAATGCCAACTCCAAGCAGTATCTGGAGCTAATTGTGAAGCATGTCTACGAGAATCTCAAGATGTGCCAACATTCGCCAAGCGTACAAATGGTTCAGACACCGCCCGATGTCGATTTGGAAGAGCTGCGCAACAACAAGAACGAAGAAGCCGATCCCGACGTACGCATGTCCCAGGCGGATGACGACAAACTGGTTGAAGCTAAGAACGAGTTCTATGACGGGGATCAGGACCAAGATAAGCCAGATTCGGCGGAGAGTTAGAATTTTAAATAAACTAAGATATAGTAACGTGCTGGATGTGAGTAAAATAGATATGATTAAAGTCGAATTAGGTTTAAAGTTATTGCTGGCCTAGCTTCCTAATGTATAAGATCCCATAAAAACGCATAAATTAAATGATTTTAGTTTTAAAAACAAATAATTGAAAGAATATTCCTTATTGGGAGAAAAAAAAGCCGCATGGGTTTAAAATCGACACACACACATGTATTTGAGATGAATAATGATACTTAGGAGGATTACTAAAATTACAATGTTGAGCTTCAATCGCCCTATGATCACCAACCAGTTGTGGTATTGGCCAGTCGTCGCATCCTTCGGGTATTTCGGTCCTGGTCGCGGATCTTTTTCTCCATTTCAGCATCGGTTAGCGTCTCTAGGAAGGGAGCCCACGCATCGGCATCGCTGGGATTACGGAATGGTACATCGATAGTGGACAAGGGTGCCTCACTAAACGCATACGTCCGACAGTGCCAAGAGAGTTGGCCACGAATGCTGTACGCAATCGCTGTCACGAACTCTCCACCCAATCCAAGTTCGGCACACAGCTTAATCGCAAACTCCTCGGGGTTGTTGTTCTTCTCGGACATGTCCCACTCGACCTGATCAACGAGCGAAGTGTTGCCGACGTGAATGTTCAGCTTAACGATTACCCGTTGATCGCAACTCTCCTCGAGAATGGGCGGATCATTCGGGAAGGCCTCGATCTGCTGGCGAATGGCCTGTGCAATGGCTGGCACAAAAGGCAGCGGATTAAGGTCCAGATCGTCGCACAGCACCTCTGCGAACTGCTCTGGTGTGATCATGCTCTCGTTCTTGTTCCAGGTGAAGGTATCGCGCAGCTTCTGTCCCTCCAGCTCCATGTCCAATCTGATGGGAACTAGACACTCCTTTTGCGCGGCATTCTCTAGGCTAGCCGTCGGATCAGTGTCGTCGAAGCACATTGGGAACGTTCGCACCTTTTTCGTGTGTACCCGGTTCCGGTTAATTGGCGTTGCCTGAGGAACTGCATCCAAATGACTCGAATTGGGCATCGTCGGGACATATTGCGGCTGCTTCTTTGACTTGCTCTCCCTCGGAACAGGAGTATCAGATGTGTTGACTGAGACGGCTCGGTACCTGGGTCGGAGTTTCATAGCGAAAATTAATTAGTAAAGATATCTTTGACAATAGAAACAGTAAAGGGAACAATGTTCAAAAATTGACTAGCAAGGAAAGTCAAGGCATGCTACGATCAAAAGTAACTGAAGTTCAAATTTGAATTTGCTAAGACTACTAAGAATATTAATTTCGATATTACTCACTTTTCATCGTTACCGGCCATTATGTCGTCGACTTCCACGGCGCGAAGCAGAGACACCGAACTGGCCAGGATGTGGGAGCTTAAGCCGGAGTCGGCCAGCCGTTTACGTTCCTCGTTCGAAAGCACGATTCGCGTCATTCCTGGGTACTTCTTATAGAGGATGCCGCGGAAGTGTCTCATGTAATTTCCCACCTCGGAGCCCACGTAGTAGTACTCGCCGCCCTCCTCCAACTGGAAGGCCACCGGCTTATCGCCGTACGTCTGCAGTGCCATTTTGAGGAGTTCTCCGGGATTGCGGTGTTATTCTCTACTATTTGCGTCTTCTGATTTAGAATTCCTTGATATTTTTAGTCCAGAAAAAGAATTTTCTTGCCGCATACAGACATGGATATGGCGTCTGTCGGAAAAGTGTTGGAAAATGCGAAACCGCGAAATAGAGATGGCACTAGAAAGACCTACCAAATGTTTTGGAAATAAAAGACCTTATAAATAATATTTAAAGCAGTTTTTTTTTATTTTTACTTTATATAATTTTTTTAGAATTGGATGATAATTTTTGAATATTAACCTGTTGTTCATATACGCATGAAAACACAGATACAAATTTGGCAAATTCTTCATTTGGAAAAAGATTTTTTTGGTCGAGTTTAACCCACCACCTATATTTTAATAAAAATTAAATAGTTTAGAAAATGTAGTTAATTTAATTTTATTTAAAAGCTAGCTTGTTATCGCACCCACACCGTAAACATCTAAACGGACGTTTTCCAACACTACTTTCCATGCGCTGCCGCAAAATTCGTTAATTATTTTTAAGATATTCACAAAAATGTCTTCACTGCGAAGTGTTGTTGGAATTCTAGCGCTCACCAGGTCCCTGGGGTGCCCAATCACAGGTATGTTTCCAACAATCATCAGGTTCCTTTCACTCAACTTGTTTTTTTGCAGTTCAAACACATCGGCACATCAAACGGTGGGTCGCACCGACGTTACGTGAACTTGCCCACCGCCAGAAGAAGCTAGGACCCCAGAAGCCGGAGCCTCGCGCTGGATTTGTAGAATGGAACGAACGGTCCGAACTATTTGCATTCGGTAAACGGTTGGGTGAATCCTTCCAGCTGCCCCTCCTGCAGCGAGCATTTACTGAGAAGTCGTTCGCCCGGATGGAGGAGGAGAAACGCAGAAAGCTTGGGATTGAGGAGAATGATCTGCATGTTGCCGACAACGGCGACCTAGTTGAAAAGGGCCGCCACATTTCCAAGGCCTACGTGGAGGCATTCCTTCAGCACCAACTTCCAAAGGTTCCGAAAGAGGGTCTTGTTCAGATAGCCAACTATCTTCTAAGCACCGATACCTTGGCTCACGTCTCCACCCACTTGGGTACCAAGGACTTAATCCACTCCACAGAGTACCCGCCTTCCAAAGAAAGTCTGGCCGAGTCCCTTCAAGCTGTAATTGGAGCTTTAGCGGATTCCAGTGGCGTTGAGCGTGCCTTCCTCTTCGTCAGAGATTTTATCTGCACCCAACTGAACCAAAAGGACTTGCTGGACATATGGACACCAGAAGAACCCCTTCAACTGCTTGAGAAAATTTGCACCGAGCGGAAACTGGGCGAACCAGAACCACGACTGCTAGGTGATTGTGGAAAGAACACGGTACTAGCAGCCTATCAAGTTGGCATCTATGGAAATCGGCAGTTGCTTGGCCAGGGATTTGGCGAAGATGTGAAAACTGCAACGGAGACGGCAGCCATTGATGCCCTGCAGCGGATATTCGACACCCACGAAAACCGAAGACCATTTGACTTTGGCCTTCAGCTGGAGACCCAAAACGTGCGACTAGCCTAGGATAAATGAATTAGTATCTAAACCTGCGTCCTTGTTGATTATTGTAATTTGCACTAAACACATGTCACGCTTTGTCAGAGAAGTTTGAATTTTAAAATCATTTAACTACGGCTTAATTCCCTCCTAGTCGCTGTCATCGCGCTTCTTGTTCGAATCGGAATCGTGGTGCGCGGTGGGTGCGGTTGGAGCTGGCGAAACGTCCTCTGGTTTGCTCTCCAACGAAAAGGGCGGAATTTTGCAGTCAAAGGAGTACCCATCCTCACGCTCTAGCCGAAAGGTGCCCCACATATGGCCGCTGGGCGCCTGCAGACTCACATGGCTGCTGTATTGGAACGCTGGCAACCGTGGGCTCAGAATGGGCTCCTGGCCCACCACTCCCCTTCCACGGACTGTCTCCAGCGTTCCGGAAAGGGAGAATATACGCCAATGACGTTCGCGCAGCTGAACGCTTAGCTCACCTAGATTCTCCAGCCGGATGCAGTAGCGCCACTGGAAAATATTTAAAATAATTATAAGGGTTTTAGGGAAATGAGAAATGGCAAACCCACCCAATAAACTGAACTGGCAGGCGTTTCGCGACAACCCATATAGAAAGGAATGACGGTAATCCGCACGTTCTCCGTCGTTTCCTTATGTACATCACTCATATCCAACCAAGGATGGTTCTTCTCTTGCCACGCCTTAAGGGTGTCCTGACCAACAAACGGAGGATCCGCCTCTGGGGCGTGGGTCAGGAACTTATCGAACAGCTCGTGCTGCAGAGGACTCTTCTCGCTAGAACTGTATGGCATGATGTCCTCATGCGCAACATAATCCAATCCAGGTATGGCATATAGACTTCGGTTTGAGTCCTGGTTGCCCAAGAAAGTCACCGCCTCGGTCTGAGCCCGCTTTAAAAAACAAATTCCTTTAAATTTATGAATAAAAAACAATCTTCCGAGCACTTACGATGTGCGGGCAGTCGCGAGTATCGATGAGCACCTGATAAAAGGTTTGTACTCTGCCTTTGACTTCTTTGGGATCCACCTGTGCCGTGCCAACGCTACTCTCCGGTTCTCGGGTGGAGTCTGTCTGATAACTTGCCGCGGTGGTCCCCTCCCCTCCCTGAGCGGAGTTTATTGCTGGCGGCGTCCCGGTGCTGGCCTTGACATGCAAGGAGTTCTCTTTGGTACGTTGCTGGGAGGTATTGTTTACGGACGTCGCAGAACCGATTTTGCTGGGATTGTGTAAGTCGCGGTCGTAGACACGGGCTGTCCATGGAAACAGAATGACGCCGCGATAACCAAAGATGCGATGGAGAAAGAGTTGGCCAGTCTCGTAGCGTTCTTCCCTGGCCTCAATAAGACGGCCCACCTCAGCAAGTCTGTAAAATGTTATGCAATTGGAGGATGCAGGACGATAAATAGATGACATCCACTCACTTGGTTGGATACGCCGCTTGCTTCTTAATGTTCCGCCGCAGAAGCAACTCACACCGGGGCAGTATGCGCCACCGCTGATTCCACATAAACACTTGCACCAGCAAGCCCATCACGTCGCATCCAAAGTTCGCCCAGAACGGTGGTGTTTATTTTTTCTCGAAGGGGCAGCTGCAGCTGCGGGATTTATGCAACGACTCGAAGAATTTGGGAGAGGGCCCGGATTCTTCCACTTCTGCGGCGGCTTGTTTTTGGCGTTCGCTCAGGTTCAGCGGGTACATGTGTTTCAAAATTTTGTCGAATTTCTAAAATCTCAACATTGTTATGAAAATTTTGATTTTGTTTTCGGTACTGGAAAAAAAACACAGCAGGTTATCGAAGAACGATAGACTTCGATAGTCGCTAATAATATTTAAAATTTAGAATGTTCCTTGTTTATAATTCTTCTTTTAATTTATACATTAGCAAGATGAAATAATCGTATATTTTTTTTATTTTTAAATTAATTGTAATTGTAGTTTTTTTTTTAATTTTTAACAAGATTTTATAATTACAATTTCCTAAAATGTTTTTTTTTAAATATAGCCCCACAATTTATATGATTTTATTGTAAATAATATTGAAATTAAAAATAATTTTAAAACTTGTATATAAAAATATTGTTTAAGTAAGTACCCCTAATAAGTTTTAAGCTCCCACCGAACTATTATCGATAACACGAGTAAATTTCGTCTCTGAAAGTGCGATAACAAAATACTGGCCCTGCCCGGTGCAGCCCTGCTATCTCCTCTCTCTTTCGCCGTTTGACAGATTTCCGGTACGTACGCGTATTTTCTGGCCATTAAAAAATAACTTAAAATCTGCCAAAAATGCGAAAGACACTTAAAAATAAGGCCGCCAGGGCAACCGTGAATGAGTGTGCTACATTCGCAAACATTGTGAAGTGTCCGCTCTGTGATTATTTGTGCGATGCCCGCGGCTGAAGAACCAAAACAAATGTTTTACTGTCGACTTATAGTGGTTTTGTTTTCTGATCATCCCCAGTTAAGCCATGGCCGACACACAAGCCAAGTCCGCTGCGCCCAAGGCCGCTAAGGCTCCCAAGGCCGCCAAGGCCCCCAAGGCAGAGAAACCCGCCGCCACCGAGGCTAAGGTCTCCAAGGTGGCCAAGAAGTACAAGCGCCACGGACGCCTCTTCGCCAAGGCTGTCTTCACCGGCTACAAGCGCGGTCTGAGGAACCAGCACGAGAACCAGGCTATCCTTAAGGTAAGTTTCTGAAGGCATCAGAGTAAAGGATGTGATGGAAAATACCCCCAATTGGGAGCTACAGGAAGTTGTTCCGGTATTTGGTTATGGCGGTTAAAGTAATGTGTAAATACTTTATCTTTAAAAATAATTGATTGCCATTAAGATTTTTAGTTTTTTTTCAAAGACGCGTGTTAGTGCTCACTATAATTTTACATAAGTTTCCAAGGAATATACATAAAGAATATTATGCAGTTAACAATTACTTTTTCCACCTAAAAAAATTTATAGTAATAAATATCTAAAAAAGATCACTAATTTTATTAAAAATTTTTGTTTTTAGATCGAGGGTGCCCGCCGCAAGGAACACGGTGAGTTCTACGTCGGCAAGCGTTGCGTCTACGTCTACAAGGCTGAGACCAAGAAGTGCGTGCCACAGCATCCCGAGCGCAAGACCCGCGTCCGCGCCGTCTGGGGCAAGGTCACCCGCATCCACGGTAACACCGGCTCCGTGCGTGCCCGCTTCAACAGGAACCTTCCTGGTCATGCCATGGGACACCGCATCCGTATCGTAAGTTCACATCAAAAAAAGACTAAACTTTACTCTAACATGTACCCTTTTCTTCCAGATGCTGTACCCATCAAGGATTTAAGTTAAAATTTAACTTAAGTTAATGACCTGCAAGATTAAAAAATCCGTTTTATAATAAATGAAACAATTTAAATTTAACTTCAAATAATATTTGTTTTTGAATGGAAAGTCCTAATAACAAATAATATTGGAATTGTAATACATAAAGAGGCTTTGTGCGGCATGTACCTAGGGCGGAAGATAAATCGGTACTAGGATTTGAGTTATTCTATATGTTTTAGGAATCTGCGCAGGTTGTATTCCTCCATTAGACAAAGCCTTCCTAAAAAAACGCAGAAATAAATTTTAGAAAAAAAATTGACTATTAAAAAGTTAATCATTATGTAATTGTTGAAACTAAAAAAATAATTGGAATATTCATTATTGTTTTAATTTTGTATGAAAACTGAAGATAAATGTTCAATATTGGATTATTTAATGAAGAATTTAAAAAAACGATAGAAGTTTGAGTTTAGTTCCCATGTCTGGGGTGTGCCCATTTGGTTTCCAATAGAAGTCAAGTTTGTTTGTGAACTTTGGGTAATTAAAATTTATCCAAAAACAAAACTTTTAGGAAACTTTTTAAACATAATTAGAAGATGCGTGCCAGTGGGTATAGGCCATCATCCAATGACGAAATTGGGCCAAAAATTGTGTCAACCACCTGGTTAAAGGTATATTAGGATAAGCGAGGTACGGTCACACTGCACAAAACAGCAGCGTGTTGCGGGCCAATCTTAAGGAAAACAAGCCGATTTTTTTAAACTTTTAGTATAATTAGGATAGTAAAATTGCCATTCCTGCTGCGTAGGCTTCCAAGAGTTATGCGGAGATGTGCGCCGAGCCTGCCTGGTGCCCCTGCCGCTGCTGTTTCACCAATCACAACCGCCCGACAGCCGCCAAAGTCGCGGCTACACGTCATCCAAGCCAATTAAGAGTTCCCGTTTGCGCTCCAGGGACAGGGATTACGTATATGTGCGTATGATGGGCATGCAGGACGATCTGGATGGCATCGTTAGGAACCGCCGAAAAAACCTGAGCCTTCTGCAGCTTTTGGCCCTCACCATGGCCGGCTTGGTGGCCGTAAATCCTGTCCAGATTCAAGCACAACCGCGGGACTTGGAGGCGCCGGGATCTCCCAGGCCGCCAGCCCTGACGCACTGCGTGGAGGAGGATCGTAGTCGTATTGGAAGAAGGTCAGTATTTCAAACCACAAATATTTGAAGGGGAACGAGGAGAAGAGGAAGCACAATGCGTTATGCATGCTTGTGAAATGGTTCGAGAACATTCCCATAAACGCACTGCGAGTGTTAAAACGACAGCAGCTAAACAAATGTAAAAAAAATCAAAATTTAAACTGTGAAAATTAAACAAGAAATTAGTGAGAGTGTCTAATGTGAAAGCCAAAACAGCACACTTAAAAAAACAGAACGAAAACAAAAAATAAATACTCATAGAACTTGGGGATACACCACATCCTCCCAGAGTCCTAGGAATCATGATCTTTACTAATAGTTCGCCAAAAGGTGAAAGAACAGTGTAATCAGTTGAACGCGCTTATCAAGCATGCGGTGAGTCATCTGGCAGAAAAGTTTTAACTGTATTTTGTTTGCGCCAGTCGCGAGCCAGACCCGAAAGATATGTTTATTATGCACGCCAATTTAAACAGGTTTCGCTGATTGTTTTGCTTTCTTTATATTTGCTTGAGGTTTTCATCGAATTTCACCATTCTCCTACCGTTTGCTTTACTCTCGTCTTCTCGGAGGGCGCCATTTTCGGCTCTTCCGCGTGTGCAAACGAGATGGGGATACTAACGAGAGGGGACACATGGGATGCCACCTGTTGAGCTCGGTTTGGCGCCGCAACAGCTGAGTGGCCTGTGGGCCCACTTCCCCCAAAACTGAGTACGGTCATGTAACAATGTGACCCTTTAGCCTAAATTCTAACATATCCTTGCAAAACGGGTGATGAAATTTATGTCCAGTCTAGGTTAACATACATCTCACGGTCAAGGCCACGAAACTTAACCCTCTAATAACTATTAATAAATGTATAACTTTTAATTTTATATTTTTAATAAAAATAATAGATAATTTAATTCAAGAGTGTTTACTTTCTCTATTAAGCAATTCATTTTTTTGCAAAGCTCTTTTAGGGGCCATATATTTTATAATCACATGCTGATAAGATATGTGTTGATTAGGTCAGGGTAAAAATCTATTTCTAATAATCTTCATTTCTTTCTTTTTGCCCACAGACTCCTGTATATTACCACCTTAGATGGAAGGTTGAGCGCCCTGGACATTGGAAAGTCGGGAAAGCTTCGTTGGAGCGTGCCAACTGGTCCAGGGCCCTTGATTTCCTCCAGTATTCATCGCCTGGAGTTGACCAACAATGGGCAGTTTGTGCGAATGATACCCTCGCTAAGTGGCGGCATATACAAGTTTGACGGAGACTCTATTGATCCGATCCCCATTACGGCCGAGCACTTGCTTAGTTCCAGTGCCAAATTTAGTGATGACCTTGTGATTTCGGGCGGAAAAGAGACGCGCACCTATGGCGTCTCCGTTCGCACAGGTCAGTTACTCTACGAGTGCTCTATTAATGGTTGTGTGAATACTACGGACGAGGGTCGTGCCATAAACGACACAATCGAGGAACCGGAGCTGGGCGATAGTCCAGGGGATGAGGACGACGATCATCTTAGGGATGAGGCTGGTTACGTCGTTGGCCACGATCCGCTTTTGGACGATGTGATTGTAGTGCGCCGCCAGACTCAAACTGTCCGCGCTGTGGAATCGCGCACGGGAATGGAACGCTGGAATTTCAGTGTGGGGCAGCATGAGCTTGATCTTGTCCCCGCCGCCGAATGCAATCACCAGCCTCGCGACGAGCTAGAGCTGGCCGTCTTGGATGTGGATATCAAAGTGGTTGTGCCGGAGGGAGTCATTTGTGCTTTCAGCAAGAGTGATCCACAGTCAATGCTGTGGAAGTACAAGGTAAGTGGAAAGTCTTTAAAAATTTGTTGTAATTTTCGTATTAATTCTAACATTTCAATTCTAGTTTGATCACCCGATTGTAAGTGCTTGGAATACCAATGCTGCTGACGAGCTGAAGCCCATCGATCTATTTAGCTCCGCCCAGTGGTTGTGGGATCTGGATCAAGACGAGGACGAGCTGCCGAACAGACCACAGGCGGCGCCGTCCATCTACCTCGGCATGTACGACAAGCAGTTATATATCCAGGAGTCGATTCGCTTGCGTCAAGAAATCATGGACCAGACTCAGGTGTATCAGCAGCTTACAGGCGATACAAGCTTGATGCCGAAAATACCATGGAAGCCAATAGCAGCTAGCAGCAATTCTCTGGTTATCTTTAAAAAAGACCAAGAGGTGCCAGAAGTTATTGGGGAAGCACCTAAACAACAGGGCAGTGAGCTCGTGCCATACGATGAACACAACTACGCCGTTGCGGCTCAATCTGTGCTGAATGCTTCGGAGTTCGTTAATGGCAACGGATTCTACTTCTACACCACCGCTGAACTAGAAAATCCGTCAGAGTGTGGCACTAATGAGACTCCTAGTGACTTTCCCGCCATCGAGGCTCCACCGGACCCGAGTAACGTCACAGACTCAGAACCTAGGGGAAACACGAGCATAAACGATGATCTTGGCTTTAGTCTGGACGACATTGATGCTCCTGTAAAGGTAGTGATCCTCTCATTGTGGTTCTGGTGGAAGGAAATAGTGGTCATCGCTTTTACGTCTGCGGTAATCCTAAATATTTTCATGGGTCAGCGCAATCAGCGAGTGGAGCGCGAGTATTTGGTGATCGAACGCCATGTTCCAGTACAGACGGCTATCGAGGCCACCGAGGCATCCACCCAGGCTCTTCTCGGTCCTGTGGTGCCGTTGCAGCGTCCTGTGAATCGGTTTAGTTTTCCGAACCCTAACCAGCGGACTATCTCAGAGTCAACATCACATTCTGGCGAGCACTACACCTCCCGTTTCCAAACTGACTTTGAACTGATGCAGTGCCTCGGCCGCGGCGGATTTGGTGTGGTTTTCGAGGCCAAAAATAAGCTGGACGAGAACCGCTACGCCATAAAAAGGATTACGTTACCCAACAAGGACTCTTCCAGGCAGCGTGTGCTGCGTGAGGCACGTACTCTTGCCAGCTGCGAACATCACAATATCGTACGCTATTTCCATGTGAGTATTATGCCAGAAATAGTCTTTGAATCAATGATAACTTATGATAAATTTTATTTCCAGTCCTGGACCGAAACACCGCCTACTGGATGGCAGGAGGAAGAGGACCGAAAGCTTCTCGCCCATGAGCTATCCACTTCCATACAAATAGAAACGCCTGACGAAAGTACACTCCCTTCGCTGGCAGAGCAGTTGAAAGAAAAGCGCCATCAACAACTGCTATCCTGGGTGTCAGATGCTGCCAATAGCACAGCTTGCAGCCATGACTTCCACGGCCATGGAGAGCCATCTCTAAGGAACATCCGGGAGGAGTACGATGACGATGAAGAAGAGGATTCTCTCATTGAGTTCCGCAGTGAGTCCCAGTCGGCGGCTTTGAGGGCGGGTGATAATGACGATGAGGACGACGACGATGACGACGAAGACGAGGACGATGAAGAGGAACACCTAGAGGAAGACAAGAAGAGGCTCCAAAGGAGCTCAGTGTCCATCGACATACACTCTGCTTCGTTTGATCTGAAAAACATCAATTACTCACAGCACCAACTGGTGTCAAACTCCTTTCAGATCGAATCGGTTCGCTCAAAGAGCAACGTCAGCGACGATACAGAGGACGATAGTAAGCCACGCAAGAAACCACTCACTCTGGCACTGGCCCACAACCACAACAACAATGGTAGTCATCCAACGCCTCCAAGCGCTACACTTCAGAATGGAGTGGTTGCCAAGCCAAGCAAGGTGTACCTCTACATCCAGATGCAGTTGTGCCGAAAGGAGAGTCTGCGCGATTGGCTGAGGGACAATCGCACGGAGGCTAGGACGGCCCATATTGCTGATATTTTCCACCAGATCGTAGACGCCGTAGACTATGTACATCTGAAGGGCTTGATCCATCGGGACCTTAAGCCGAGCAACATCTTCTTCTCCCAGGATGGCCAGATTAAGATTGGCGACTTTGGTCTTGTCACCGACATGGCGGACATCCCGAATCTGGTGGCCAAGTGCGGGGATCAGACTGGGTTGCCCTCATGTGCCCGACACACCCAGCAAGTGGGCACCCACCTCTACATGTCGCCTGAACAGCTGCTAGGCCGGCACTATGACTACAAGGTGGACATATATTCGCTGGGCCTTATTTTCTTCGAGCTGCACGTGTACTTCTGCACCGAAATGGAGCGGATTAAAACGATGCGCAACCTAAGAGATGGACAGTATCCCAAGGACTTTGCAGTCAAGTACCCGGAGCAATACGACCTTCTGCAGCAGATGCTGTCTGCAGACCCGGAACAGCGTCCGCAAACCAAGCAACTGAAGAGTCAACTGCATGAGATTCTTCAGCTGCCGCAGCACTTGATGGAAGGACGTGGTGAGCATGCAGTGCTGGCGGAGCGGGCCAGGCGCCTCAGTCGAAGTCGAACCTTTAGCAGCTCTAGCGAGCAGCAGCAGTGATAGACCAAAGCCGACAGCAGCTTTATCAGATAACAATTCATTTATAAGCCATTCACCAAACGCGCCCGATTGTGTGTTAACCCTCACCTGGCTATGCCTCATTCGCTGACCTCGATCCGCACCGGTCGCAGGATCATTTAATCGTTTAAATTAGTTTCGATAAGTTTTGTATTACGTTCGCTTTTTAAACTCTTGCGTGTCGCAAAATAGCAACAACATCATGTCCTTTTGTTTATAAGACTTAACCTTAGCAATTATACATTTAAACTACATATTGATACATACATATTGATGTACTCCAAAAAAAGAATTCAGTCGTTAGCCTAAGTTGATGATCGATGATCTACGGATAAAGTTGGGCCAAAATTGTTTGTCTTAGTTTGTTTCTGGCCACGCAGGCCAACCAATACGAGAGTTTTTTTTAGTCTTAGTTGATAAGCGATAAAATAAAATAATCTAAAAATGGAAATGCCTGTTTTTCTAATTGCTAGACGTTGATAACGGGGACGTGAGTAATATTCATGAGTATTTCAGTCCCAGGGCGCCTAATGTATTTCAGCATTTTTGATGACAAAATCATCACTTAGGTCTGTGCCATGACAAATAATAAATAAATGATAATGAAAGAACTTTTTTTTACTTTTTATATCACTTTATTTTGTTTTTATTTACGCCAGTTGCGCATTTTCCAAAAACGTTCTCTACTTTTCTATCGGTTTGTCGACTTATATACCATATATAGTACATATGCATCGGTCATGCCAGCTGTGCATTTCTAAGTACAAGTGGTTTGCAAACCGTATCAATTGCTTAATATTTAGTTTCGGTGCGTTTCACTTTCACTAATTTGTGGTTAGCTCTTTGTCCGATTAACAATATTTTTCCTACACTGCACATTAGCGCGCGTCTTGCCCTTTTAGTACAAAAAATAACAGAGATCGTGGGTGCCGTGGGATGCACTTTGGTAATACTTATCTAAACATAGCAGCTTTTACTTAAAATTAATTACTTTTGAATGCTCTGAACAAACAACAAGCGGCTGAAGCATTTGATTTGGTTTTGATAAATATTTTAATGTTTAGGCTTTAATTTTTATATTGCTACAATTAATTTTTCCTTTTGCTTCAAACTGTCGCAGGCAACGTGTTGCTTAAATATATACGTAATCCAACAATTTTCCATGTTGCTTTAATTTAATTTTTGTTTAGTTTCCTTTTAACTGTTTTGCATTTAGCATTTTAATTATTTCCCAAAAATTAACAGCCATTTTGACGAATCCATAAACTTTGAAAATCAAGGACAAAAACTTCAACCAAACACGTACAATTACCATTAGATTAGTGTAAGTATGATGTATATATAGGTATATTTCGTATAAATATGTTGATTTTAACGCTTTTTAGTTGCTTACTTGCTGAAGAGATTGTGGCTAACATTTTTAAATACTATTGTATTCAATATGAAACTTTTTAAAATTTATTAAATTAGAAAAAGAATAAATTTCAACACTTTATAAATATTCTACTGACAATGTAAGTTATTCGGTTATTGGTATGGGAATATCCTTTAGAATCGGGCATAATTTTCAAGTAATTCAACAAGTAAGCACTTTAAGCTGTCTATTATCATTTGTTTTTAAAAGTATATATTCCTTATCAAAGCCACAATTATGTATATATTTGGTTAATACTCGTTTTAAAATGTTACCATGTTTAATTATTTTATTATTATCGATTTTTCATTGGTTACCCTTGAAATAATTTTCAAAAAAATTGATTTCGAATTTTGCCTTTACTTGTAAGTATGTCTAACATTTAAGTACTCCTAGCCGTGCACTCCGTGGGGGAGTGGAACCAATTATTGGCAGTGCGCCCAGTTATCTAATTTGAATATCAGTTAGAGCTTACTTATATTGCTGTAAAAGTCGGTTTCCATAGCATATTCGCAAAGATCATCTTTTGAAATCTCTATGTACAAAGTCAGCCTTGATTGCTTTTCTTTTGAGTTGTTTTGTCGAGGTAAAGAAAGAGATCGGTGTGGTATGTATGTGTTTCGAAGGTGTTTCGCAGTGAAAGTAATCCGTTCTTCAGTGTCCAACAGATAGAGCATTAGAGGCCACATTATCTAACTAATTCATCGACTAGATCAGTTTGTTAACACTACACTACGCTACACAAACATTTGCTTTTCAAACATTAGCTTAGGTTTTTATCTCCGAATCTAACCTAGGGTCTATCAATTTTGAGTATGTCATGGCTTAAGTTGTTATCACTAAAAAACAATAACACAATCCTCGATTTTGTGCGTTTGAATCAAGTTTTAATTTACTTTATGACATTATAGGAGTAATTTGAAATATTAATTTGCTTCTCGGTCCTAAGGCTTCTTTGTGAAGGCTACCTAAATGCCATGAACAATTCAAAAGTTTTTAGAATTTCATATCTTTTGTATGGAAAAATTTGAAAATGAGTATGGCAATAAACCTTTATGTTTTTATTCGCACAAATTTTAATCGGCAGATATCGTGGTATGAGCTTTTTGATGGCATGATTGTAACTCTTTCGACAATTTTCTAAAATACTTATGGGTATTTATAAATTTGCTCTTAGTCCTATGTTGTCCTAAGATTACGTACTTTCTTAATTCAGTTTCGGAGACTTGACATTACTTGACATTAACTGACATTTTGTTGCTTTGGCTTAACAACTAATTCTTGAAATGATCACAACGTTAAAGTATGTTTACATATTTGTGTATAGCTTAGGTTTACTACTTAATTACTTAATAATAACAAGGTTATTCGATCGTACATAAAATGTATTGTAAATTATGGTGGGATTAATTGCCTATTTACGTTTCACGACAGAAATAATAGCCACAAATATACAATAATAATAAAGAAATCAAACTTTTGCATCGGCAATTGTTGCTGCACTTTGGGGCTATCGTTGCATATTCATGGCAGCTGCACTTCCTGCCATCTTACGGGCATTGAATTGCAAATGCGGATGCACAAAAGTTGTCAGCAAGGATGCCGGGATCTCGGACTGGACGGGAATGCAGTGGCTGTTGGTTAAATGCATCCCCCGTTTGGCAGTCCCGCTGCCATTTAAATGAGCGCCCAGCTGCCCGACAAAAAGCACCCATAAAAGCAGCCAGCAAAATGTTGTAATAATAGCAAACAAAAGAAGCTGGGAATGGGTGGGGTTGGAGTGCGGATGTCCTGGGAGTTTGGCCACTAAAAATGTATGCTAATATATGCATCTGCTAGCGTCGTTGGCGATGGGGGAACCGTTGATTCTGTTGTGTTTCCTTCAAGAAGATTGCGTATACGCCACGTTGGCGTACCAGATTTCGTATACGCCACCTAGCCAACACCAGCAGCTGCTGCATTGGGGAAGTCCCTCGGATATAATGCGCCAGATCAAAACGTTTGCTTAAAAAACTTATGCAACATTTGCTAAAGTATTGTACAGCGTCCTTTATTCCTAGTTGATTGTGAGTACTCAGTGCCAACCAGGCCACCACCTCCGGCGACACCTCCTCCGGCGGCGCCGCCTCCCGAACTGGTGCAGCCCATTAGCTCACGGAATACATCGCCGATTTTGTAGTTATATCTGCCAAAGACCCCGAAAAAGAAGAGAAGAACCTTTTTAGTCCCTGGGCACAAGTATCGCATGACAGATGGTCGTATTGATTACTCACTGCGCCGAGCACTCGACGTAGCCACAGCGCCAATGTTTGCGCACCAGCGTGGAAATATCCTTGAGCTCCTGCCAGCCACGACCGATAGATGCATGTGTATATGTTTGATAAAAGAAAAAGGATTCAATATTGAGTATTCCACTGATTTAAACCGAAAAAGTAAAAAGGATTGCAAAAAACTTTTGGTTTTTTCCTTTTTAAATTAAATTATATTTAAATATTTGTTTAAATATCGTCCCTTTCTTTTAGACATCTAATATCCATTAATCGGATATATAATACAATTAAATATCTCACCTGCGAGTTGGCCTGCGCCTCAGTCACATTGTCAAATTTATTGCCAACCACAATTATGCTAAAATCACGATGACTGAAACTGTCCAAGATTTGATCTCTCATCGAGCGGCAGTACTGAAATTGAATAGTCGCGGCCATTAGGCAATCAATTGGCACACGATATGATATATCAGGACACTCACCTGAAATGTTTCCAAATTGCCCATGTCATAGACCAGGACATAGGCGTGCACCGTTCGCAGCCCCAGCGGATGGCCGTTGTTCCATTCGGCGAAGTTGTCAGCCGGAAAACGCTTCTGGCGATATCGCAATGCCAATTGAGCGTGTGTCGTTTGTTTGTTTTTCATCAGCATATTTTCCCAAACAAACAGTGAATGCAAATATAGCCAGGCACACACATGTGTCCACACACGGACGGTTGAGTCGAGTTGTGTTTTCGTTTCGAATTATTTTTGGCACGCGTATGAAACGCAAATATGAAAACGGAAAAGAGTTTATGGCATTTAATGGCGGGTCACAGCAAAAAGAATTATGTCATAAATATGGTCATACATATTTTATATCTATTAGTTCTGTGTAGTACAAGGATTTGTGGTCATTATGGATTATGGATTATGGTTCATCGATATTGGACTAAAGAGGAAATCATTTTATCTGAATTATAATTCTAGCTAAATTGGGAATATTCTAAATTTATTGGCTTGACTTCTAGCTATTAAATTCATGAATTAATTTGAGTTTCTGTCAATTAATTCAACTCCTATTGACTTAAATTCCTCCATAAACGTAAACACAAATTGTGCAAATATGCACTTCAGTCCCCTCGGATTGTTTAATATGTATTTAGGGCTTAGTTGACCACTTCTCCAGCGGTTTCCGTAATCTTTACAGCTCTCAGCAGTCGCATTATTTGCTTGAGTTCACTGCTGCGCCAGTAATAGAATTCATTTATTCATTCGCAATGCGAAGGGATACATTCTCCACATTTATTAAACGAATCTGAAACTGAAACTGTTGCCACAGCAGATTTAAAAGGACAAAGCCACTCCCATAACGACCGTAAACTGTATCAGTTACGGTCCGAAGAATACAATGGTCGTCGGTTGGTTCATATTAACTACTGGTGCGGTGAGGATTGTCGGTAAATAATTGTGGTCCAATTAGTGCAAACAACAATTACCAAGCCAACAAAAGAAAATCTTCTCAATAGCTTTAATTTTTGGTTAAAAGAAATTCAATAGTCATTTTCTGAGACTTTTTTTGTGTTAATAGTCCTGTCAGATTTTATGGCAGAACTGGAAAAAATCAATCCTCAAGCAATTGTTTTACTGCAGCTCGGTTTAAGGACTGTCCCCAGAAGGCAAATCAGTGGGACATTTTTCACCGCAGGCAGGTGGCCACAGTGTTTCTCCCAGGACGTTAATGAGCAGAAAGATATCTGGAAATTGTTAAAGGACACTGGGAATGGCGAATGGGACGCCCACAGCGAGACAGTAAGTAAACGTTATAATTAAATTTACGTCGCAACATTTTGGAGGCAAACAAAAGTCAAAGGCCGGCTAGACAAGAAGAGGAGTCCGAGATGGAACAAACAACCCACATCTTCCACCATCCCCTAAATTTCTACCCTTACACTTAAAAAAGTTCCTACTTGACTTATAAGTTAATGAGTGCTTGACTTTTTAAAGGAATTTTAAGTACTATTAAACTCGATGAAATACAAAAAATCAAAATTCTTTTAGAGTGTAATTTCTTGGAAAATATTTATTGGAAAAATTCGTTTGGTGTAAAAGTTAAAAATCCTGACCCCGTGCACGGATGGACAGCTCAAGGGTCCGCATTCCTTGGCGCCTCTGCGTCTGGTCCTTTGGTCCTTTGGCTGTTCGGTTCCTCAGTGCTTTGGTTCGGTTTATCCCCTGCCTCAGAGCCACTTGTCCTGTTTTGTCTGTTTGTGTATTGTGTCATTCTGGCCTGGCATTCAGCCAGACGCCAGCCGACGCCACTCCCGTCGGGCAGTAACTTAGCTAGATTTACGTTTTTGATTAAATTTCATTTAATTTGCGCTTTCCCCGCCTCTGTGTTTGTGATTATTGTTGCTTTGTTAATTAACGGGCTGCGAGATGGCGAGTTGGCTCGAAATGCGAGCAGCTCGTTAGCCAAGATTCTCGATGTCTTTGCCGACGCCGGCGCCTCGAGATGTAATTGTTGTAATTGGTGCATTGTCTTGGATTCAAGCTCGAAGGAATAAAGTGCATTTGGCTTATGTGGCATAGCTTACATTTTGGATTGGATTTTTCCTTTGAAAAGTATTGAATCTTTTAAGAAGTGACAGTCTTTTTAAAGGTCAGAAGACGTACTGATATCTTGAGAGATGTGAGGCTACTTGTTATTTATAAAACAGACTAAGTACTAAGAATACTAAGAAGTTTAAATTGAAGAAATTTTAAGCCAATTAGAAAAAAAATCCATTTTGAAAAAGTTTTTCTCTTTCTTCTTTCTAAACTTTATCAAAATAAATACAACTTTTTAAAATGGAATTATTCTTGAAAGCCTAAAGACCTACTTATTTAAATGAAACTTATTGGCCAAAGCCCATAGGCATTGTTAGTCCGGGTCATTAAGTCCAGCTTCGTAGATTATCAGTTCGAGAAGCGTTGGCCACTTAAAGTAAACAATGGCCAACTAAATGGCCTCCGAAACTCACACACACACATCACACTAACACATCAGAACATCTGTTACCGCTTTTCCCCCTCCTGGCCGTGTATATGAGCGAAAATCTGTTGGAAAATAAATGCTGTTTGTACAAGTGGAAACCATTAAGGTGGACTTTGAGTTATGACTGCCAGGCAGTGCACTTGACGATGAAAAATTTACCACAATAAACAGGCGACAGTCCTCCCAACCTGTCATCCCCCACCGCCTCGTCCTGTTTTAGACAACAGTCAGCCATTTGGTCAGCACAATGGATGAACAACAAAGGGCATAATATACCAGGGAAGGGGAAAAAATTGTACTCGAAAACAAATTCACGCCAAAATGGACATGAATAAGTTGAAAAGCATTGAGAGGTGGCCCAGTTGGAAAAGGGCAGAGACGGTAGCGGTAGTGGTAGCGGTAGCAGCGGATAAAGTGTGGCGTTGGGGTGTGGCATGGGAAGAAGCTACAAGAGGTGGGCGGTACGGGTCGCTCGGCACGTAGTTAATATGACAATGGATGTGGTTGGCTGACTGCCCGACTGGCAACTGCTTTTTGTTGCTTGTCAACTCTTTTGCCTCGTTTGCCATTTCAATGCAAATTTCTCCTGCCGTGTCAGTTTGTCGGTATGGGTTCCATGTATTTGGCAAAGGCCTGGATATCCATGGCAATGCTACCGACTTCGCCATTTTTTTCTCCCTTTTTTTCGCCAGTATCCTTTGGCAACTTTGTCAGCTCAGCACCCACTTGGCCCAGATCTCGATTTGTGTGCCAAATTTATTCAGCGTTGGAACAAAAGGTTGCATTTGCAATGATTCTGGAAATATTACTTGCGGAAAATGGTTCACATTTACTTCACAAAGTTGCGGTCTGGATATCCCTATTCGGTGGATATGCATCAAAGTGAGAAGAGAATTAAAGTTTAAACTGCAACATGATACAAAATCATAATAAATTGGTAACCAATCATTGTCAGTGGCCTCTTGGAGTTGAAGTACCCTAGGGGTGAAATGTTCTATGGTAACATGGAAAAAACCAACTTTTTGCTTGGTAACTCGAGCTTTGCATTTCTCAGAAGGCCAAATGGGAGGACCAAAGAACAACTGGCCTCGTTACCAGAGTATTCCATAAATATTTTATGATAGTTAAACGTTGCAAGCCAACACAATAGGCGGTGGGTTCGTGGTGGTGCACTTTGGGAAGCCTTCGAAGATGTAAAGGAAGACTATGTAGTTTCCCCTTGAACATTTTCGGTGTCAGTTTGTGATTTGCGGTGTGTTCAGACTGCTCTCTAATTGCCAAATACCAAGGATAAGTTCTTGCACTAGGCGAATGGAATTTAAGGACCCCACAAGGACCAGTTTCTGCCAGATACATTCTGCCGCATTTACGTATTTTGCGAGCCAGCCCGGCCGTATAGTCAGTCCGACTTTATGGCCGGCCATAATTGAGCGTTCATCCGGATAATGGCTCTGGGACAGCTTCCCAGCCCGGAGCACGTTCCGGAATTCCTGAGCAGTTAAAAATTGATACTGTCCACCTATACAACGTTGGAGTGAAAATGCTTTCGAAGGTGTAAAAATTTATTTATTCTATCATTTTTACGATATCCAGCTGGACTTTAATAAAGTCAATTTATTTATCAGAAACCAGCCAGGTGTAATAAGTACTACTATGACTATTAGGGCCAAGCATTTTTGATTAAAATCTTTTAAAAATTTGCTTATTTATTTAACTTCTTTTTCTGAAAAATAAATTCTGTTTTCATTCCCAAGCTATGGATAAATGTATGTCTTTGTCGTAATTTTTAAACAAACTAAAAGCAGTTAGCAAGTTGGTTTTCTGCTCGAGATTGCTATGCAAAATTGAAAATACAAAAATTAAATTTACAAAGAAAGTTTGCTTGTGGCAACATCAGGAACTGCACCATTTGGTGTTGCGGTTGTTTGCGTTGAAAACTGTTGCTCGTGGCGCTTCTGGCACGTTCATTATTAAAAAAAAGGGAAAATGGGAGTCCACCTGTTCGTTTGGCTTGTAATAAAAATGCAAAAGTCTAGACAGAAACCGACAGCAGGCTTAAAGTGTCCTCAGGTTAATATTTATGTAGGACGAAGACAGGTGGCATTTTCTGCCTGGTTACGCTTGGGGATCTGAGGGGCAATTTAAATTATTTAGCAATTTATTATGGCCAGCAGGCGTGAAAGTAGAAACATTTTCTAATATGTTGGCACCACGAAATTCACTGGAAAATTGCATGAAAATAGTTAGTAAATATTTTCATGAAATTCCCCATTCCTGCTCTGACAGTGAGAAAACTTTTAACTAAATTATGCGAAAGTTAGAATTTGTGGCTAGGGCTGTGGCCGGGCCCAGATGGATTTCGGCTGCTTTCGGGTTGACATAAGGAGGAGCAGTAACTCACCTGGGGTGGAACGTCCAGTACCATCAGCTCACGTATGCAGGTGTCGCAGACCAGACAGTTTTTATAAATCTTCCGACGTGTTGTCGTCTGATGAGTCTTGGGAAAGTCATGGTAGAAAAATTGCTGCAAGAAAACGTAAAAAACGGGAACACTGTCACTTACATTCATACACGTGTATACATATGCTCTGGCAAAATTAAATATTATTGTGATTGTAAAATATGGCGCATGCCACACGTGGTACGCCAGAGAAAATAAAAATGAATTTTCCATCACCAAATCATTTGACTCCACCATACATAGAAAAATGCCAGCTGAAAAGCCAGCCAAGCAAATATGTTTTCTATGCTTCCTATGCTTCGCTTAGCCTTCCATGGCAGTTGTTTCATCGTTTTTTCTTTTTCTCTGCTAAGCAAACATTTTAAATATGCGTCCTGAGCTTTTGAACGAGGTTCTTTGCCCGGTTGAATTGCGCACAGGGACACACATTTCATGGACATTTTTAGCTTATTAAAATTGTAAGCGCTTAAGAGTTTGCTATGGATTTTAATGCTCCTTCCCAACACACACATCCTCATAAACGACTGCACAAAAAAAAAGACCTTAAACACAGGGTAAATGGTTATATGAACCGAATGTGGAACTGAGCAGAGGATTAAATTAGGGAATTTGAAATTAAATACATGTGCGATTTGGGGATGTTCTCTGTGAGTGTTTCTGTGCCATTTTAAAAGGAAAACGAATCCTATTCGGTGCGGAAATCTTTTCCGAAAAACTCCTTTCAATAAACTCATCGTTATCTTTGGCTCTTACTTTAATTTGTTAATAAATTTTTAGACCCCTAATAGTCCGCTTCACTAGCGCCCCTAAGCTTCTAATCCGGGCTCATAACGCACATGCGGGACTTTTTGCGGGGATTTTGCTTTGCAACGTGGCCGAAATGACCCCATTAACCCCTCAGCCTTTCCAGTCCAGAAGAAGGCGGTTCCGCCCAGGCGAATCCCAGTCAATGAAGGAGAGTATCCTAAAAATAAAGCCAAGATGGCAAAGGCATAAAATACATTCTGTAAAAAAAAGAGAGAGATGATAATGAAAGAAGAAAAATGTTAGTGGATGGGTCGAAAAGATTTTGATTGTGGCAGGAGCTCCAGCGTAGGTGGGTGAGAGTATGTTTGTATATGAGGGGTCCTCCCAATGGGTATCAATGCATAAGTTGGATGAGTGACAGGCTCAAAGGAAATTTAACGCTTGAGTGCATTTTAAAGTGATGTCTGGGAGACCCAAAGAGCCATCGCCTAGATTGCCAATTGAAGATTATGTGCGATTGTATGAGGAATCTAAGTAGGACCACTTTAAAGTTGTCTTAAAGATACATCACATCCAATATAAATGCAAATTGTGTCGCGTCAATCAAGTCAGCCATTGTTGTCAATGCAATGAAATCAGATGCAATTTATGCGCACTACGATTCAATTACGGGCCATCAAAAAGCAACCGACTAAGTCTCTCCACCGGAACCGGAAGTGGCCGCGTTAGGAGGCAAGCAAGGCGACATCCATCGAAAATGTCTCGGTGCTTGGCCTTAAGGGGTTATATACAGTTGTGACAAATGAAAAAATCGATTTTTTTTTTATTACATATTCTTTAAGTATATTCTATTGGGAATACTCTCACAAAAATTCTTAACGATCGGAGCATTAAAACCGAAGCTGTAACTATTTATAGCGCACTATCTGCATATAAAACTTGAACAAACTTGAAACTTTAAACGCGATTATCTCAGAATCTTTTTTTTGGGAAATTACCTTTGCGGTGGACACGATTACTAAAAAACTACTAATCCGATCAACACCAAATTTTGACCACTTATTTATTATGATATTAGCTAGTCCGTGAACGAGGGATTTTCAATTTTTTTGAAAACTCCTTTTTTAAAGCACAAAAAACGAAAATCTTATACGTTGAAAAAGTACATTTTTTGTTAAAAACGTCGCCATTTTTTTTTTAATCAAAATTTTTAAAAATCCCTCGTTCACGGACTAGACAATACAATTTACTAACTAAACTTTTTTGAATTTTGGATTTCGGATGAACCGTTTTCGAGAAATCTTGTCCACCGCAAGACACCATCGAAAAAAGACGATCCGGGAATTCGGCTATAACATTTTTGTTATGTAATATTTTTTTATGAAAAAATTTAATTAAGTACCCAGAAACATGTACTAAACAACGTCGGTAAAACATTTTTCATAAATATTTTCTATGGTGTCAAAAAAAAATCGATAAAAATCCATATTTTTGCGCGGTACAACTGTATATAACCCCTTAAAGCAGAATGCTTTTAGCGAAGGCAATTTTAAATTATATGCTGCACGCAGTCACACTTTCTGGGTGGAGCAAGTGGGCGTGGCAAAGGGGTCAGAACGCAGCGGATGGCATGACTTCGCATCACATCGCATCGCTTTTATGTCCCAGCACCGCATATCATTGAGTTTTATTTTTATTGAACTGGTAATTGAATAAAAAATGACATTGATGGTCGTCCCCCAGCTTGGTCTGCTCCGTGGTCGCCGAGAGATGGTCCTGATCCTGGTTTCCAGTATCCAGTATCCAGTCTACTGCCTGGCTTTGCGCCTCTTTATGCCTCTTGGTGGCCCATAAAGTGCGTTACATTATCTGGCCCATAAATAAGCTGGCCGGGATCCGAGAAGCTTTTCGAAATGTACTCAAATGGATATTCATGGCGTATTCTTTATTGATATGATGCACTGCCTTTTATTTCTCGCTTTTATTTTTCAGGAATTAGCGCAATTTATTCGAAAGTGTAGTATATCCATTTAAACCATGAAATAAAATGGTTTGATGATGGGGAGAACGGAAATGGAAATTCAAACTGTCCCAGTCTATAATCTTTGCTATATACATATATAAATTTCGGCCTAAATATAATTTATTGTTTAGTTCTATTTCCTTTAATTATTTATATTAAGGCTAGACAATAAAGTCCTTTTATTTTATTTTTATGGAACAAATATGTGATTTGATTTGGCATGATTGCGTTTACATGCCTATTACATTAACGCAGCAATAAACATTTTTGGAAATTGTTCAGACTGACCCATTTTGCACCCTCTTCCCCAGTGTCCCCCTCCAATCTAGAAACTGGGAGCTCCCTTCGCCCAGCTTGACCACAAACAGCCATTAAACAGCACGTAATTGATTTTGCAGTGCTTAAAATGCCATAAAAATGCACAAATCTCGCATTACACACAATAAAAGGCGCCCAACAGGAAACGACAGGAGTTGGTATGGCGGATTGGAGCGGAAGCTTAACCCTCTGACATTCTGGGACGCGGTATACGGGGGAGCGGATAATAGATCCTAAAAGCATGGCGCCCAGCTAATGTAGACACTGGCATTCACACACCCACGCAGTCACGTATGGTGCATACACGTCTAGTAGAAATTAAACGCGGCTATAAAGCGCACACAAACAAATGCATGGAAAATAATGGAGAGCAAATGGCAAAGCGGCCAACTCGCAACTGCCAACTGCAGTTAATTGAATTTGCGGATCGGAGGTGGGGTTAAAACGTTGGGTGCTGATGGGAATGGAGACGGGCCGTGGAAATATAAGCGAACTTCCTACGCCAAGGCTTATACTCTTTTCCAAAACAGTTTCCTTTGGTTCCGAAAATTGCATCCAACCGCCGAGCTATAAATTGGCATATTTTATGTTTATGTTTTTTGCAGCGTTGAATTTTCAGCAGGTGAAGTTTATATGGTTTGGTCATAAAAGTTTACGGGGCGGATGAGTAATATTTCACCAGCTAAGAGTGTATTTTCATCATTTTGTTCACATAACTGAAAAATACAGTTTTTGGTGTGGTTAAGTTTTAAGTCAAAGCTTTCCATGAGGAAGTTTCTTTAAGCTCATGTATTTTAGCAATTTAATTAAAAATGGAATTTGCCCACATAAGTATGCTGTAGAAAATTGTATTTTCTGCTTCCGCATATCCAGTCTCATAGTTACCAATTATTTAATGATACCCTTCACAAAAGGCTCTTATAGCGATGCCAAACACATATGTGCCTTTCTAGCTCTGTGCTCCTGCCATTGTCTAATTACAAAAGATAAACCACAAAAGATACGAGGCGATGCGAAGCGCAAATCAAATTAACGTTGCTGCTGCACGCACACAAATGCAATTAGCAGAACGGGAACAACTGCGCAAAGGACGAGGGGGCTGAATAGGTGATGGGCGTGGCACGGTGAGAGGCAGCTGCTGCGGGGCTGGTCTATTAAAAAGTTTGCTGCTAAACTTTTCAGCTTTCATCGGGGTCGCCCATTGCCCATTAATAATTTAAGGCCCAGCTAGAGCAGGAAAAGCGCATCGTTCTTAAATGTCCTTTGCGTCCCCGCTCCAATAGTTTGGATTTACCGTGTATTCGGACAACTTTTAATCAGGAATTGTGTTAATTGAAAATGCAATTCATTATTGAAAAATTAATTAATGCGACTGGTAATACGATTCTCTTCTATCCATTCATCAGCAGCAGCAGGATAAATGCATTAAGTCTGGGAGAAACGATGATAGGAGTCATTAATTTTAATTGCATTACAAACTGAAATGCACTTAGCAAACATTTAAAGTTTCATTGGCGATTCGATTTAATTATGTCAATTAAGATACGTAGCTTGCAGACGCACTTTGATCTTTGCAAACAGACACAAATCGATTGCCACATGCCCCATTAATTGGTTTGTGTTTGGATGAAAATGCATAAGTTTTAGAATTGAATCTTCAACAGATGAATCTTCAACTCTTGTTTTGTATAGTTAAATCAAATAGAAATGGCTTTGTTTTTAGTAGTAGTATTTTTAATTAAAAAACTCCATTGTTCACTTACCTGTAATATGCTTGTTTTGCCGACGCCAGTAGCCCCCAAAAATGCGGCTTTAAGGGGGCCCTGCAGCCATGGCGGCTCCGCACCACCCTCCAGAGTGATGCGCTATGCCGAAATGCACTTATTCTGTATATGAAGCTCCATTTCAATTGAGATCTTGGTTGTTGTGTTCGTGGCGGCTGTGGTGGCAAGTGCGGTGGCTTTCGCTTTAGATCCTTTGGCTCCTGCTGCTGCTGCTGCTCCTGTTTTGTTATTGGCTGCTGTTGTCCTTGCACTATCACCGACATAATCAACGCTTCGTGTGCTTCCGATTAATAGTTTCTTAGAGTTTGTTGGCGATATTGTACTACTCCACATTATATTGTTATTATAATTGCTTATAGTATTGTTGTTATTTCTTTGCTTTAACGACGCCAGCTTGACTGATTTTGCAAAACAGGATTATACGAAAGAAAATGTTTATTTTTGCAAACTAAAATGTAGCAGCAGATAATATTAAAAAGGATATTGCAGGTGACTTTCTGTAATAAGAACAGAACAAACGTTTATAGTTTAAAATATGCACTCAAAAAGATTTATCTTATAATTCTAATATTGTGTTTCTATTTGATTAAATCGGAAGATTGATTGTTTTTAATGTTGCAATTTATACGAAGCTCTCAACCATTCGGACAGCTGTAATAAAATAAACCGAAACCATTGGCAATCGCATAAATTGCCAAGTGATGGCGGAAAAAATCGTTTTCGGAGCCCAAAATGCTTTCGTGGCAATCAGCCTGAATGCTGCTAACTAAATTTATTGAGTCGCCTGCGGATATTGCACATTGATTTCAGTTTAATAACATAAATATTGTTTGGGCCAATCTTTTTTTGTTTTGCTTCTTCCTTTGGGTCTCTTTGCATTGCCAATAATAAATTTCAAATTTCACATTTCACTTCCGCTGCACAACGGAAGTTGATTTCTGGCTCTCGTTTTCGCCGAAGGCCGACCTCCAGGACCTCCATATTCTTATTGCCTATTTTCTGGAGACTGGGTTGGGTTGGTGGTAAAAAAAAATAAGAAAAACATTAAGTGAGGCGTGAAAAATGTTTGGCAATTCCGTTTTTCGTTCCCTGAATTTTTGGCTGTGGTTGTGGTACGCTTGTAAATTACACGGAAGCAGATTTATAATTAGAAAAGTTTCGGAAAATGAGATTGGGCGTTGATTAACGTCAGATTTATATTTTGAGCGGCTTTTAAAGTTAATTTATGCTTTTTAAATTACCCAGAAGATGATTTTTTTTTGCTTAGCTCTAGGGAGGATTGTTTAACCTTTAAGCATCCTCATCCACAACAATTTTACGCCTCCTCTTAATTAGTTAGACATCTGCCAACAGCTCGATCTATCATCTATCATCCGTCCACTAAACGCCTCCACCCTACTCGGGTGAAACTTAATAAATTTAATAACCGCAAAATATGCCGTGAGCGAAATGTGTGGAGACAGGGTGCTAAAAATGCCAGACAGCCATCACATCGTTGGCCTATTTATAACCCACATCTCCATCAGTTGCCACCCACAGCCTCGCCTCCTTCGAGAAAACATCTTTTCCTAGTAGACACCTACCCCGAAAAATCATGCGTCATCGAGACGACGCCCACAATTGGGCGGATACTGGGTATATGCTGCACATACACACGGATACGTATAATGTAATGGTGTCACGAGCAAGTCGAGGCGGCTGATTTGATTTGATCTGATATGATTGAGAGCGCCTGCCAAGGGCATAGCTTAAACAGCGCCCACACTTAAGCACACACCCTGGGCAGCCACAACATCTCAAACCGCAACCATTCGTGAGTCACACGCAGGCAAAGGTTTCGAGGTTTTTGAAGGAGCCGTGGCCTAAACATACACTTACTGAATTGGTAACTGAATTTGTGGCCAACTGATGTTTAAAATTACTACACTTGATACTAGAACATGGTTTTATTCGTAAGGATTTTATTTGAAACACTTTTGTTGTAAAGTTCTATAAAAAAACACCTTATTTTTATTTTTAGTATATAAGATTTAGATTTTCATTCTGTTCTAGTTGTATTTTTAGCTCAGAAGAAGTCTTTTTCAAATTTCTCCTCACCCGAAGCGGCATATTAATCCCATAAAGAACCAAAATAAATTGGGTAAATAAAATCCTTTGTCTCCGATTCGATTCGTACGCCCCGTGGCCCAAGTTGATTGATACGCTCTCCAGCCAGCATCGAAGTACGTAAACAAGTCCTTTTACTTTCGCCTTCAACTTACGGCTGGAATGGATGCTGAGGTGTTCGAGGTTCGAGAGCGGTGCGGAGCCGGCAATTGAAAACTTTCCACTTTTGGCAACACTCCAAGGGCTGAGCTCAGGTCTTAGTCTCGGAACAAAGCCAGACAATTGCAGCCCAGTTATTGTGCCGCCTCTGCCACAGCCGTTGTTTCTGTGTATATTGTATATTGTAATACTGTTATCTGCCCACTCACTTGAGTTTGTTTCAGCCATGTTTATACTGGCAGGCTTACGAAAGCCGTGTGCCTTGAACTTCCTTGCCTTGAATTTTCCGTGAGACTGAATCACAGCAGAGGTCCTAACTTTAGGGCAGGAATTGTAGGAATTTTAAGGAAATAACAAAAATTCGAGAAAAATATGCCTCTATAAAGTATAAAATTTAGTTATTAAAGTTTTTAAATATTTTGTTAATTATAAATATTAAACAAAAGCTAGAATATAATTAAGTTAAAACCACTGTTCCAACTTGGACTTCAATTTCCAGTCACGACCATTTCATGGCCTGTCTGCGTTGACTTCCTTCTTTGCTTTTGTTTTATGCCTCTCTTCCGCTTTTGTTTTGTTTTTTTCTGTTTGTGTTTGTGTTCAGTATTTTTTATGCTACGTGCCACTAAAATTTTATTGGTTTATTTATTGTTTTTAGAGCAAGTTGCTACAGTTGTTACGCCGGCGGCTTTGCCCGTTTCCGTTTATATGTACTGCATTAAGCGCTTAGCGGAAGACAATCAATTAAAAGTTTTAGCCATTTTAATTGCGGCCTATGCCCGCCAGCTTTTCAATGAGCCAGGACAAAGGCTGGCCATAAATATCAATAATATTATTATTGCCGTGGTGAAAATCAAACTTTGCAAGCATACTGACAAGAAAAAACGGAAAAGTGTCAAAAAAGCGGCAACTCTTTCATTCCCTTTGAGACAACCCTAATATTTGGACCGACATTTTGCAACATGTGGCGAATACCGTACAAGGATAACGGATACAGGACGAGCATGCAAATCGACACATGTGCCTGTGTGTGTTTGGGTGTGTGTGCTGTATCCATGTAGACAGACGGAAATGAAATGTGCGATACTTGATGGCGGCGAATGGCAGGGACTGGCAGCTCTAGGCGGATATTGATTTTGGAGCATGTCCCAGATCAGTGGCAAGGAATAGAAAACATTTGCCTCCAGCTTGGCTGACAGGTAACCAAAAAAAAAAAATTCTAGCTACATGTAGATTCCAATGTCAAATCAATGTCTGCAACAAGAATCTATAAATATTTTACTATTTCGATTACTATATTAACTATTAAAGATAACTCTTTAGACAGTTTTTGAATAATTTACTTCTTGTGGTTTTAAATAGCTTTGTAATTAATTTTAATTTTAATCTTTAATTATTATAAATGAACCAGGAATCTTGACTAATAACAAGCTCAAAATACCTTTTAAAAACAGCAGCATAATGGGTTTTCAGATCAGACCCCATCATTTACTTTACTTAATCCCTTCAAAACTAGCTAAACAAAGCAATTTGCGCATTAAGCTCCGACATTAATTCAAATTATGACAAGAATAAAGCAAAGCAGAGCGCTTAATCAAAACGCTTAAGTGAATCCTTGGCGGAAGGATGGAAGGCAAGAACCATAACAAAGACCCGACCTACTACCAAGGATCTACACTCTGTGTCATTTGCATTTTAAGGATACGGCACCGAGGCCTCTTCCTGTTTCCCTGCCTCACTCACAACCTTAACGCAAGTTTCTGTCGCTGCCTCTGGATTTCATACAAGCTAATTTTTTTACGATTATATGCGCTTAATAAACGCCAACGCCTGTGGAGCTGCGATGAGGGATATCGGGGAATCAGAGACCCGGAGTCTCGGGCCATCTGGGCTCCATCCGGACTAGCATCCGCATTCTCGGCCCTGGAATCCCCTCGGGCTCGTGCTGTGCCCACTGCTTAGCTGGCGCATTATCTAAGGCAGCGCAGCGGAAGTGATGCCAGCGCCATCATCACCACCACCAACACGCAGACTAACAGCAATAATAACAGCAGCACAGCGGAAGTCTCCTCACACACACACACAGGGAACACTAAAGGACCTCACGCATACGTACACAATCTTGGGGAATAACTCTGGAAGATAGCAGCAACTCCTGCGGACTTAAGTTTTTCCTTCGTCCTTAAAACTCTACACTGGTTAACTGGGGTTAACATGACAGGAACATATAGACCAAAGAAAGTTTGAAAAATAGTCCTTTTGGTAAAAATATGATTCGTTTAGGCACTTTTAAAGGTACATAATAGTTGTGGATAGTTTTGTATATATTTTTTTATTTTACTTTATTAAAAAAAATTGATTTCCTAATTAAGATTAAAGTACATCAAATATTTCCCTTAAGCTCAACCTTTGGCTTTAGCTGACAAGGATCTTTTCGGTTAGCCTTTGCCATTCGTTTTTATATTGGTCGACGGCCTCATTGTCATTTATGGATACCCCTCCTGTATCGGTCCTTGTACTCGTCCTGTCCCCAGTCAAAACACTTAAGTACTGTCAATGTGTTTGGATTTCCTTGATTTTGGCTTGTACGTACTACGTATAATAAAAGCTCTTACATATGAGGACCGGAAAAAAGGAATGGGGGGAAGGACAACTACATTTTCCCGCCGCTTGACTCCCTTTTGCATACATTTGTCCTGGCGCCCTTGTGAGGTGACGTCCTTGCCGCGTGTCGTCGTAAGAGCGCGTTTTGAGTATTCAGCAAATATGCGAGTGCTTGGCAGGGCTTACCGTGATGGAGGCGGTAATACCTACTGCTACACCTACTATTTACTCCGACTTCGGGTCTCTCCAGATTCATTTCACTTTCTCGACCGATTCTGTTTAGATTTCGGTTCACTGCCACTGCGAACTTAACACTGTCCGAGTTGGACTCGAACTTTGGGGGGAAAATGCATCGCCAAATGGATTCGCATTCGGTTTACTTAGCCGCCTTCCTTGCCATTTTATCCTTTCTTATACTGTATTTGGCTGGAGTAAAAACTTTTTCAATATTTCAAGAGATTCCGCTTTTTATTTGTTCTTCTCTACTTCGGCAACTGCAGCTTTATATAATTGAGTGGAAGGAAGCAGCTTTAACCGCACGAGTTAACCGTAAAGAGGCGTTGGTCGGGAGCTGGATGATGGCCAAGAGGATTTTGACCAGAAACCCTTCGCTCTGGCATCCCAA